GCCATCACACTCCGCTGAGAGCGGCGCAAAGCAAAGCGCGCGCTAATTGCAGGGAAATTACACGCCACAGAGAGCTTGAGAGCCGAATGTTTTTTTTTTTAGTTTTCCTTCTTTTGCCGTTATACATATATGTATGTATGCTTATGTATTTACCACAGCTTTCTGATGGCGTGTCACGAACCGTTGTTGTTATTTAAGTGTAAATTAATAGTTTGTCGTCGCTTTCGGATTCAATAATGATTATTATTGTTTCATTTGAGTGTTGACTAGCGTTGCCAGATGGCTGCCAAGGCGCCAGCGCGTGTGAGAGCGCAGTCGCCACCAAGCCACATCAGAGAGAGATAGTGCGCGAGAGAGAGATAAGGAGAAGAGAGGGAGAGTCGGATTTGCGTCGTACGTCAGCGAAAAGGATATTTTTAGCAAGAAATCAATAACTCCCACACTTGCAAAAGCTTTTGACGTCACAGCCAGCCGCCAGCCCACCCCATTGCCATTGTTCCTGGCGTGGGGTTCAAACGCCCACACACACCCACACACACACACACACGCCACACATTTCCATATGCCCTTATCGATAAACAAAATTCCCCAGGCCAATAAGGCCGTCCTCCTTATCAGCAAAGCGCAATTGAGTGGAGCGGATCGGCGAAAGCGGAGGTGATGGCTGGCAAAAAGCTTCTATATTCAAAGCTTCTCTTCAAATCACGCAGCAGTGCGACTTTGCTGGCACTTCTTTCAGGCACACACCGAAGCATGCATGCTCTGCGTGATTTACTCCATTATAAGAGTTTTTCTATTCCATATTTAAATAGGAATATTGATTCGTTTCAGGAGGACGCGACTACACATATTACCCACTCAGTCAGTATATAACATTTTGGATGCTTTTACAAACGATTCAATTTTATATTTAGTATAATATTTACCCACTTAATGTCGTTAAATTGTAAAGGAAATTTACAGAATCAAAGAGAATCGATACAAATGATTGGTTTCAATGGACGGGTATCAAATGGTAATAATTTTTAAACATTAAGTCTGCATGAAATCGTCAAACTATTGGTAGGATCTGATTCAGATTTGGAGAATTGTAGCAACAATGGCAGCAATCAAAGCGACGAACCGGTTGCATTTATTAAGTTTCAATTGCAGGAATATGAAATTAATTAAACCAAACAACAGATCGCCCAGACGGCTTTGTGGGGGCGGAAGGGGTATAGCTGCTGTTGTTGTTGTTGTTGTTGTTGTTGTTGGGACATGTAACCAGTTTCTGGAAACCAAATTTGGTTGCCCTAGCTCTTGGGCTGCTCCCACAGATCTAGTCGCTCAACAAGACGGACAGACAGATAGACAGACAGACGGACGGCAGACTGACAGCTACAGACAGACAGACAGATGGAGGGACAGACATGGCTAAAACTGTCACGCCACATGCTGATCAGAATCTATACGTCATGGGGTCGGAAACGTTTCCATATCTGCGTTACACACATCCACTTTAATCACACATCTAATATTGCCCCTAACTCTTTTTGGAGTACGCCCGGTATGAAAATATATGTTGTTTGCAGAGTACATATCACAATCACATACCACAACTTCTTTGACTATTTTGGATACCTTTCATATACGATTACTATATAAATTATAATTTTTACCCATATATGTAGTTTGAATTTTAAGGAATTTACAGAATAAAGAGAATCTATACGAATGATTGGTTTCAATGGACTGTATCAAATGGTATTTTCATTTTTAGAAACATTAAGTAGTTGCATCAAACGGAAATCGTCAAACTATTCGTAAGTACGCGGGCGTCTAGCGGGGAGAATAGTAACAACGACAACGACCACTGCAGCAATATAAGCGACGAACTGGTTGAATTTACTCGTAAAGTGTCTCAATTGCAGGAAAATGAAATTAACTAAACCAAAACAACACATCGCCCAGACGACGTCAACGGTGGCATACTGCCGTATAGCGGCTTCTGTTGTTGTTGTTGTGACATGTAACCAGTTTCTTGAAAGGTAATTGCACGGCTGCCTCCCTTTCGGGCTGAACTTGAACAGCTAACTAACGGCCGCCGCAGTTGGCAATCGCTGCCACAAAAATGCAATGAGTGCCCGGGGCATAAGGCCACACCAGGCTCCATCCACAAATTGGAGGGGCAGGATTTAGAACTGTCACCCACACGTAATCGTCTTAATCACATTGATAAGCACTTGGCATATTTGTTTAACAACAGTCTAATCTAATCAGACACGAACATTGCCACCACTCGAGGTGTCCGCCCGATATATGTATGTATGTGCATACCTGTTGCTCTTGGGATTACACAAAATTAGTTGAAAAACAGTGTGCGTTGAATACCCTGTACTAAAACTTATCAAGAATTTTATAGCAGTTGGTGTAGCTACCCTGACCACCAATAAAGCTCAACAAAGAAGACAGAGACTTATTAGGGAAGCTTTGGAATATAAAAGAGATAGCTGGATAATTTTTATTTGCTCATTCCCCTCTCAATACCCACCACTTGACGCAACTGAAGAGCTCTAAAATAAAAGTTGAATATCACTCATGAAGCAGAAGCCCAAACACTTGGCTTGGACATTCAGTGGGCCATCGAGTGGAGTGCCAGAGAGCAATGATGCACCAGATAATATCAGACGAAACTTCCAGATGCTAATTGCCAGATCACAGCTGACTTGAACCAGAAAAAGTGGGTCACCTATGGTACTATAGTTCAGGGTGTGGAGGGAAGGGGATTCCAATTGGATGGAGATACTTCCCTGGCTTTCCACTACAGATTCCAAACGCAGCGGGGCAGAGAAACAAAGCACAGAGGAAACAAAAGACAAAAAGCGTGAGAGAGAGAGGTGGGAGGGGATTCGATTCATGGATTGATCTGGTGGAGAAATGGGGTGGAGCTGGGGTAACACTTTATCCGAGTTACATTCACTTTTCGCTGTTGTTATATTGCTCCACAGCTGTCCATTGCAGACCCCCTCTGAGAGGGGATTGTGGTACAAGCAACTTTCTTCTAGAACTACCCATAGCTGGGGACGGGTTCGGGGCTCGTAGCATGACTCACCTGGGCGAGAGCAAAACCATCCGGATTGCAGCTGGGAAGAAAATGAATTTCTGTGGTGTTGAGCAGCCGTTGGACCTGGTCGTCCGTCTCGTAATTGCTGGCTAGGTACTCGGCCATGTACAGGACTATCTGGCGGCCCAGCGTCTCGTCGCCCCGAATGTTGGCCACCAGCTTCACCATGGGCCGCAGCAGATCCCCGCTCTTGTCGTCCGCCGGTGGGGCGTTCAGCGCTAGGGCATGCAGTGGCCTGCTCTGCACGGAGCGACCAACTGTGTAGGCCTGGGCCAGCTGAGGATAGTCCTTGGCCAGCTGGCCAAAGAGAGCGCCAATCTCATCGTTGTCCAGATAGTGTGGATGCGTCAGAAAGCTCTCCGTCTCTTCGATCACCTGAACCGCAGCGCTCTCGCTGTACTCTGCGGGGTCGGGGGCGGGGGCCGGCGAGCCAGCGACGAGGGCCAGGCACGCAATCACAAAAACGCCAACGCGCATATTATCTGCTATCTGGAGAGCAGATCGATCCGATCCAGACCCGCCGATGCGGACACGTAAGCAGCAACAACAAACGGGGGCGCAGGCGCGATGGGTACGCTGGACGAGGCGCTGCAGCACTTGTGGCTCGCTTTCTGCTGGCAGCTTTCTTTGATATGCAAATGATTGCCAATATTTTCACTCTAATACAGAAACTAGCACACAAATTAAACCAGAACACGGAGACACGGAGTAAACTTAAACTCGTTCTGCAGGTGGCTTGCCCTGCTCACGGGTGATGCGTTAGCCACACTGTCACTGCACTAAAATGCAAAATCACACGCCACAAAATGAATGAAAGCCGTAGGAATAAAACATATTTCCTTTCCACAAACAACAATTGTTGCACTATATTAAAAAAAAATTCAATACACAAAACATAAAACTACGCGGACTTATCGATAAAATACAATTCTGACCATCAGAAATATACCAAAACATACGGTCACATTTGAAAATATACCGGAAATATACCAGTATAGTATGGATACCGATGTCAAATATATATTGATATATCGATATTTATATTTTGCTGAGATTATTTAAATACGGCAGTATTTTCAATAAAAGTATGTGCTGGGCGCACATGGGTTAAAATTTTAAACTAGGTGAGCCTTTTAAATTTTTAATTTTCTAAACTCTGGCTTATCGAATCTATTAACAAATATTTAAAAAACGAACAAACTAGCCAAAAATAGGTTGCAATTGTGTACCATTAAAATATAAATCAGAATGATACCCCTAAGACTAATTAATGTTTACATACATATGTATGTATGGATGTACATCATATATGTTCTGAATGTACTTTAAAACATGTCGTATCAAAAACTAGTACAATACAATACGATTATGTTAAGGCAAATTTTGAAAAAGTGCATTCTCATTCAAATGGTATCAGACATTTGGTTTTCCTTGCATCGTAAAGTAGTGCCTTTTGCGCTTACACCAAGTCCTAACAGGGATTTAGGATACACGTTGTGTGTTGCTGTGTGGTGTGGGCTTTTGCGTGTATATAAAGTAGAGGATCTGTTTCTGTTTCGAGTCTAAATGCTTGGTGTTGCTTCTGATATCAATGTAGGATTAGGATCCAGTGCCCATTGCCCAGTTGATTGCTTTCGATTGGTGGTGGTGGTGGTGGTGGGGCCCCACTCTCTCCACCAGATTTGACACATTTCTTACAGCATTTTGCTTTGCTTTGGGATTTAGTTGGAGCGAGGGCCGACTGCTACCACTGGGCTTTGTTTGAGGTTAGGCTAACTAGCAGCTGGGCAATCAATAAAAATCATGGAATATTCATAAATTGCCCAGCCCACAAGCACTAACCCCCAACCCTTAGCTTAGCTTAGCTTAGCAGATATAGAGGGCCTCCCCCCCACCGTCTACTGTTCATTGGCCGTTACGATGGCGGGGAGTTCGGTGGTTGTGGTTTTGGTGCGCGGCTGCTGGCGTTGCTTCTTCTGCTTCTGCTCCTGGGAGGTGGCAATCCGCTTCTTGAGCATCTGGAACGTCTGCTGCATGCTGCGCATCTGAAAGCGTATCGAGGTGCTGACGTCACGCTGCAGTTGTTGCACCTCCAGGATGTCCTTGCGCAGATTTTGGTACTCGTTCTTCACCTCGGTCATGGACTCGAGCAGCTCCATCACCTCCATCTCGTCCATCTGCTCCATTGTGGTCTGCTCCAGGCTGCGCTCCACCGCGTGCAGCTTGTGGGCCATCGTGTACAGCTGGGAGCCAGCATTGGCCACCTGCAGTGGGAGTTTTTAACACATCTGCACATCCATATATCTATATCTATAGATATCCACTCCACGGCTATATATAAAATGTACATACGGATTTTTCCAGGGCGCTAATATCCTGATAGCCCGTGGCGGTCTCCATCTTTGCTGGTGTCCGTTCCCTAGCAGTGCTGTGGCATGGCAATGTGGCAACAAAGCTGCGCAAAATAATAGGATAGGTTTTCTATCAGGCGCCTGGCCGGAGCGCGCTCGCCTGCTGCTGGGTTGGTGGCATCCGAGCGAAAAAGCGAATCCTGCGGGGCGCTCGGCTATTTATACGCTCGGGCCCCATGCCCTCATACACACACACACACACACACACATGCTCCACATGTTGGAGAGTCCTGCTCCCTTCCGCTTCCTCACTGATGTCGCACTGGTGTCATGTCATGTGAATGGCGGCAACTCTGGCCAACAGCGAAAGTAGTTTTAATTATGTTGACCAGGAAGCGGAAGTCTTGGCGCAACTTTGTTTACCTTGGCGGAAAGTGGAAAGCGGAAAGTGAAAAGTCAAAGGAAAAGCAAAAGCAAAAGCATAAGCATACTGGCTGGATTGTGCTGACGGCTTGCACAGGATTTTGAATGTGGGCTAAACGGTTTGCGCCTAAAAGAATACCATCCTATTTTTTTGATTGGCAATCGAATTTACTTAGAAGCTTTTGGGATTTTTTAGTGCTTAAGCCAATGTTTACAGTTACGCTTTGTTTACAGTGGTGTCTGTTGTATATACATACATACACATGTATGTATGCTTTAGTTCTAAAACCACTTTATTTACTATTTAACAATCATCATACATACATTTTGTGCGATTAAATTTCATCTACATATGCACTAATATTTTTTTTTAATAAATCATATGTGAGTGTGTATGTGCATGTACATATGTATTTATGTTGTTTTCATCCGACACGTGCCATACACTAAAATACCAACAAAATACCAAATCCGAATATTGAATGCTCTTTGAAATGATATGGTGGGAGAAGTAGTTTAATACAAATTTAGTACGGTTTTTGAACATTGCCCCCTGTCAGCATCTCAAAGAGTAAGCTACCTTTTTTTTTTGCTCAATTAAGTATGTATGTACTTATGCACCATTGAGGCAATCATTATTCGAATGGATTGTTATACAAAACATTCCATATGGTCTCCAACATTTCCACTTAACTAATGCTCCTCAAAGGCGGGGCAACGAGAAAAAAGCAAACATCGCAAAAACAAACTCACACATATGCATGCCTATTCCGGCATACGCACGGACACACACACAACACAATGAAATCTCGAGCCCCCAACGAATAACAAAAACAAGAACAACAGCTGTTGTGCCAGGTTCTTCATATATATGTAGGTGTGTATGGTTTTCTGTACGCGTGTGCGCCCGCTATCGTAAGAACATTTCGACATTCCTCCGACCCCACCTGACCGCTCGCCCTAGCCAAACCACCATCCAGTCTTGACAGTCTTTTCCACGGTCTGTCTGCCTCTGTCCAGCCCCCACCCAACCGTTCCACTGCCACTGCTCGTATATCAACAATCACACCATACACACGGGCCCCTTCGACTTGGCACAGCCTCATAGCAATTGCTTTCAGTTCTAGTGGAACCACCGTTTGGACAGCACGCGATCTCGATCTCGATCCTTAAACTCTTGACCAAGAAGCGGCCAGTTTCCGAACACTCCTGCCCATATCCACCCACATCACTGTCCATCTCCCCAACCAGGATGGCTTTCCTGCGTGCAATCGGTGCTGAGGTAAGCGGGGGGAAATGATTTATTATCGATAAGCGCCAGTTGTAGTAAAAGAGTTTACATGCGTATGTAAATGTGTTTGCATACATATGTATGTGTGTACGCGTATGAATATGTAAAAGTGCAACAGCCATTCTGGTGAATGACTGACCTGCCACTCTCACTTTACATTTGCCAGAGTGTGCGTGTGGGTGTGGGTGTGTGTGTGTGGCCGTGAAAAAGAAATGCCAATTGACAACACATGTTACGTAATGCCGCTCCGTAGGCAGCCGCAGCAGCAGCAGCAGCGGAGCAGCAGAGCGGAGAAGATAGCGACGATCGCAAAATGCAAAAACAATTAGCAGAGCAGAGCACTTGAAATGGCATAAAATATATGTAATAAAACGCGATAAGCTAAGCCGTGTATTTGGCGTACAATTCCATTTGCCGAAGTGACCGAAAAGCCATAAAAACGCATGTTCGCCGCCATATGTGGGCCCAGTGGTAAGCGTGGGCGTGGCTATCGAGCCCTCCCCCCTTATCATAACTGTACATTCTTACTGTGCAAGTTGAGGTTAGGATTGCAGTTCGTCCAGGGAATTCCGATAAAATGGCATTCTGCCACTCTGAGATTATACTTTATTGTCCTCTCCCCTTTGCAGGCCCGCTACTTGACACAACGCGCCTACTCATCGGCCGCGCCCACCACCAAGCTGTTTATCGATGGCAAATTCGTAGAGTCCAAGACGAAGGAATGGATCGATGTGCACGATCCGGCCACAAACAAGGTGGTAACGCGTGTGCCCAAGGCCACGCAGGAAGAGATGCAAACGGCACTCGAGTCCAACAGGAAGGCATTCCGGTCGTGGAGCAACCAGTCGATCCTGACCCGTCAGGCGGTCATGTTCAAGCTGCAGGCTTTGATCAAGGAGAATATGGGCGAGCTGGCCAAGAACATTACCAAGGAGCAGGGCAAGACCCTGGCCGATGCTGAGGGCGATGTGTTGCGCGGACTCCAGGTGGTGGAGCACTGCTGCAGTATTCCGTCCCTGCAGATGGGCGAGACAGTGGCCAATGTGGCACGCGACATGGACACATACTCGCTGGTGATGCCACTGGGTGTGACCGCCGGCATTGCTCCCTTCAACTTCCCCGCCATGATCCCTCTGTGGATGTTCCCCGTGGCCATCACGACCGGCAACACAATGCTGCTGAAGCCCTCTGAGCGAGTGCCCGGCGCCACCATGCTACTGATGGAGCTGCTCAATGAGGCCGGCTGCCCCCCGGGCGTGGTCAACGTGATTCACGGCCAGCACGACGCTGTCAACTTCATCTGCGATGCGCCCGCCATCAAGGCCGTGTCCTTTGTGGGCTCCGACCAGGCCGGCAAGTACATCTACGAGCGTGCTGGAAAGAACGGCAAGCGTGTGCAGAGCAACATGGGCGCCAAGAACCACGGCGTGATCCTGTCCGATGCCAACAAGGAGAACACCTTGAACCAATTGGCTGGTGCCGCCTTCGGTGCTGCTGGTCAACGCTGCATGGCCCTGTCCACGGCTGTGTTTGTGGGCGAGGCCCAGGGCTGGGTTCCCGATCTGGTGGAGCGTGCCCAGAAGCTGAAGGTGAACGCCGGCCATGTGCCCGGCACCGATGTGGGACCCGTGATCAGTGCCGCCAGTCGCCAGCGCATTAACGATCTCATCGAATCCGGCGTGAAGGAGGGAGCCAAGCTCGTTCTCGACGGCCGCAAGATCAGCGTGCCCGGCTTTGAGGATGGCTACTTTGTGGGACCCACCATCCTGAGTGACGTCACCCCCACCATGAAGTGCTACACTGAGGAGATCTTTGGCCCCGTCTTGGTGATCCTCAAGGCCGACACCCTGGACGATGCCATTGACATTGTGAACGCCAATCCCTACGGCAACGGCACCGCCATCTTCACCACCAACGGTGCGGCTGCTCGCAAGTTTGTCAACGAGATCGATGCCGGCCAGGTCGGGGTCAATGTTCCCATTCCCGTGCCCCTGCCAATGTTCTCCTTCACCGGCACACGTGGCTCCTTCCGCGGCGACCATCACTTCTACGGCAAGCAGGGCATCAAGTTCTACACCCAGACGAAGACCGTCACCCAGCTGTGGCGCGAGACCGATGTGACCCACACTCAGGCAGCCGTGGCTATGCCCACCATGAAGTAGGGCGGCGGTGATGATTATGAGACGGATGACGAGGCGTAACTGTTCCACGTATTGAATTTCTAGATATATGCACAGGACGTATTTAGAACCTAGATACAAAGAAATTATTGCATTTATTTTTGTGCCTGTTTATTAGACTTAAGATGAAAATATAAAGGAAATTAATTAATTAAAAACTGACTTGCAAAACGAAACGAAACAGAAAAAAGTTTTGAAAAATGATAAAACCGATACGATGACATAACCCAATCCAATCCAATCCAAGAGCGGACTGCTGCTGGCCAGCAACACCTGAATCCGAATTAAAGGAACGAACTTCTCTCTCTCTCTCATTTAACATGGTCAATTCTGTATTTTACTAGGCTAAATAAAGCATTTTGATATTTGAACACATAGCCTCAATCCCCCGACCCAATCCCCGACGGGTCTTGAGTGGGCCAACAAAGAGCGCCAGCCACCAGCAAGCCGTGTGGCAGGCGATGGCGGCAAATCACACACCACATCTAATCCAACACCATATTATCTAATCCTACACCCCCCAAAGTGTGTAGAATATTCAAAACAATCACGAGGGTCGACCCCCAAAGGCCTGGCTGGCCACCAGCTCCCGAAATGCGCCCTCCTCAATGCGCATCAGGGTGTCGTAGGTGCCCTGCTCCACGATCCGACCCCCATCCAGCACAGCAATATTGTCCGCATTCCGGATCGTGCTCAGCCGGTGGGCAATTGTCAGCACGGTGCGTCCCTTGATGAGCCGGTCTAGGGCATTCTGCACCAGCTGCTCGGAGACGGCGTCAAGGGCACTGGTCGCCTCGTCCAGCAGAAGTATGGTGGGATTCTGGGGGCGGAGTACATATAATATTGCATTAGATAGGGTGGAGTTTTGCTTTGAGGATAATATTCTATTCGTCATACCTTTATCAGTGCCCGGGCAATGGCCACTCGCTGCTTCTGGCCACCGCTGAGCATCATGCCGCGCTGGCCCACAAGCGTATTGAGGCCATCTGGCAGTTTGCTGGTAAATTGTCCTATGTTGGCCTCCTCGACCACGCGCTGAAGCAGCTCCTCGCTTTGGTCCTCGCCGGGATTCACGCCGTACAGAATGTTCTCTCGTATCGTGCCAGAGAACAGCACTGGCTCCTGGCTGACAGCGCCCACGTTGTTGCGCAGCCACTGGGGATTGACGGTGCGGAGATCCATTCCATCCAGCGTGACGCTCCCCCCCTGGGGATCGTACAGGCGCAACAGGAGCAGGGCTATCGTCGTCTTGCCCGATCCGGATCGCCCAACGATGGCCGTTGTCTGGCCGGGCATCAGACTGAGCGTGAAGTCTTTAAGAACAAAGCTGTCGGGTCGCGAGGGGAAGTTGAAGTTGACCCCGTGGAAGCCGATCTCGCCAACGGGCTTGGACGTCGGCACGAGGCCCGTGTCAATGGGTATGCTGCATTTTCGATCGAGAATCTCCCAAATGCGCTCCGAGGCGCCAAGTCCCTTGTTCAGCAGACTGTAGAAATTGGACAGCCCGTTCATGGAGACGGCCACATAGCCGGCATACAGCATGAAGGAGGTGAGGGCGCCGATGGTCAGCGAATTGTCAAGTACCAGGGTGCCGCCGTAGTACAGCACCGATATGATGATAAAGTTCCCCGAGAAACCCGTCTAAGAAATTAACGAAGGTCAGAAGATATTTGGGACTAAGACTAGGACTAGCGCAGTGGGGCTTACCAGGCCAAAGAAAATGGATCTGGCGCGTGTCTCCTTGTAGCCAATTTGCAGCGCCTCATTGAGCTTCTCGTCGAAGGCGGTAACTTCCTGCTGCTCCCTGCAGAACGTCTTTACCGTCTTCACATTGCCGAATCGCTCCTCGGCATACTTCATTATCTCCGCATACTTGTCCAGTTCCGTTCTGGTGATGCGCCGCACATAGCGTCCATACACAATGGCCATGCCAGCCATGGCCGGCACCACAAGCGCACTGACCAAGGCCAGCTGTGGCGACGTGTAAATCTGCAATCAGATCGGTTCGCTTGTTAGGATGGGAGCATGAGCATGACAGTTAGTTGGGGGGAACGCACCATCATGCCGCTACCGACTGTAATCATGGCCACAGAGCGCAGACCATCGGAGACATTTTGGCTCAGCGAATTGCCCACCATGTAGGTGTCGTTGCTCAGTCTATTGATAAGTTCCCCAGTGCCCTTCGTGTCGAACCAGCCCACCTCCTGCATGAGCATCGATCGGTATAGGCGGGAGCGGAGCAGTCGCACAATGCGCAGAGCTGGGGGAGAGAGAGAGATTGCAGGTTCCGGACTGCGAATCATTTGTTTTTGGCATCCACTCACAGGCATTGCCGAACAGATAGACACGGGCAAAGTTGGCCAGGCCGCCCAAAACGAAGATAAAGAAGAGCATCAAGGAGTATTGTTGAAGACCGTCGAGGGCCGCACTATTCATGCCGCTCTTGTTGAACACCATATCGATCACCTTTCCCAGAAAGAACGGCACCGACATGCTGATGGCCGAGGAGACCACCAGGCAGGCGACACCCGCTGCAAAATGCAAATGTTGGGTTGGTCATCATTCAGAGGGTTGTGTGAAGGCCATGGGCTTGCTTACTTAATAGCACCCACTTCTCCGACGCGACCAAACGGAGCAGACGCCCAAACTCGGACTTGCCCATTTTAAGACGGGCCTGCACCGGGACAGCTTTAACATTTTTGACCAACACTTTTCCGCCTTGTGCCAGGCCGCGTCGCAGGCTCGGAACACAGGAGCCAACGCCGGCACAGGCACCGCTACTCCAGCAGCTCAGGATTGGTTTTCGATGTTTCGCTGGCTGGGGTATTCCAGGCGGTGGCCGGAGATTGCACTGGTATCGTCGTAACAGCGGCCTCGTCAATGAATTATATGAATTCAGAGCGTTTCCTGCTCGATTGATTCTCGAGAATAGTAGGCTCGGCGGGCCTTGTGTCAGTCTTGTACAGTGCAGTATCATCGTGATGTTGTGTGTTCCAAGGTGTCCCACCAAGACGAAAACGACTTCAAAAAAAAATAAAAAAAACACCACAAAGAAGTTGAAAACAAAATCCGAGCAGCTGTTCCAACATTCAACTTGGTCACACTGCTCGGGAACGCTGCAGAACCCAACACTGGTCGCGCGGCAACACGTGCGCCTTTTGGTTAGTAAACAGCATGGGCTCGGGCAAAGGTAAGTTTAAGTCGCTAATTACGGGATTTTACACATAATAACCCATATTACTGTGCAGAATGCATAGCCTGGCTGACGGACGAGGCAACCCCGTATCCGGAACGGGTCGAGTTTGGCCTGAATGTGTGGCAATCTGTGGATTATACGTATCCGAACAAATACGAAGTGTTCATAGAATGGCTGGCCAAGTCCCTGCCCGGCAACGAGCTGCCGGTGGTCCAACTGATGCGACTGTTCCAGCTGCGTGCGCAGCCGGGCATGGTCAGCCAGGACTGCAAGGCCTCGTTGATCCAGGCGCTGTTGAACACCATTGATCCCGCCAAATGTCAGGACAACACTGCCCTCAAGCTGCTGCAAAACATGTTCAACTTTGATCTGCTCCAGGATGTACTGCGAGCTGACTTCCCACTAATCTGCCGCTGCTATGGCGTACTCTTCGACTGCCAGCAAAGGTGCCTGAAGCTAAGAACCGAAGCACAGGCAGAGGAGGATCTGCAGACGGACGCGGAAATCGTTGTGGCCATGATCAAACAGCTGGCCGAGATTGCTCGCCGTTCCCAGAAGGTCCGCAAGCTCCGAACCTGCTACGATGAGCTGACAGTGCGTCCGCTGGTAGAGCTGATCCTCAACCTGAAGTCCTCGTGCATCGAGGAGATGGCTGGCCTGGAAAAGCAGCTGCAAGGCGAGTTCATCCTACCGCGCATCTCCGGCCAGCCCCTGCACGTGGTGCTGCTGCTCCTCGAGTGCAGCGTGCTGAATAACCGCTACAACACGGACACTCTGTCCCAACTCCTTAGGATGGTATTCGAAGAGAAAGCTGCCGCCGGGCCGCAGCACAGCCTGACCCTGGCCGCCCACTTGCTGGAGACTCTGCGCAAGTACGACGTATCCCTGCAATTTCCAATGGCAGAGGAGCAGCTGAATGACGACGAGCCAGACACAAATCCCAATCCAGAGGCGTCCTCCGATGAGGAGAGTGATTCGATGGATGTACCAGAGACAAAGGCAAAGAAGAAGGCTAAGCCAAAGGCAAAGAAAGGGACGGGGACGGACGAAAATGTTAAGCAAGCGAGTGCCTTTGTGTATGTATCGGAGCAACTGCAGCAGCTGGTCAAGACACACAAGCAGCACCATCTGCGGCCAGTGCTGATGGTGCTGTGCTCTGCACTGCGCCTGAATCCTCTGCTGCTGGAGTCCAGCAGCTATCAGATCACCATCTGGATGATGACAGCCCCCAAGAGGACCGCCGAGGAGGAGCATCTGTATTCCGCGTACCTGGTGCTGTTGCTGGACATGTTTCGGCGCCTGAGTCGATCCGAGCGCTTCATTATGAATCTGCTCAAGTCGCTCAAGGATTGGCTGGCCAAATACCCGCTGCCAGTGACGGGGGCCCCCGGCAAGAGGAAGCGCGAGCAGGAGCCCGCGAAGAGCGAAGACCTCGACGCCGCGGAGAAGCGTTTCATCAGCCTGATCTTTGCAGAATGCGTGCCAGTGCCAAGCGCGTCCGAGACCGAACGGCAGAACGATGAGTTCAAGCATTTGGCACACTTCTGGCCCAGCCATTCGGCCGGTGCCGCCTTCTCGGCGCTGGTCGGCCTTCTCAAGGCGAAGCCCTCGATGGTGATCTGGAAGACGCTGCTGCACGCCCTGATGGAGCTCCTGCAGGACGCTCCACCCACAGAGATCCTGCCAGCGAACCAGGAGTTTGCCCGAGAGCTGATCGTCGCCCTGCTCTGTCAGTATCTGCAGGGCACCCGCCTCACCGAGCATCTGCACCTGTACCTGGATGAGGTGGACGAACAGATGAACCGCACGGCCGAGTTGCTGGAGCGGTTTGGCCGCCTGCTGCTCAGCCAGGAGCACAACCGCCGCTCCATGGACGCCTTTCTCGAGTGCCTGAAGTGGGCCAGCAGCTACGAGGTGCTCCTGTTCCACTATTGGACGGACGCCAAGCCTAGGACCCACACCCACCGACGCCGCTGCTTCCTGCCGCCCGACCAGTGGCGGCTCATCCAGCAGCGGGTCTTTAACTTCGGAAAGACCGCCTGTGGCCAGCGCCTGCAGCGCCTCGAGCAGCAGCTGGTCGATAGCGGCTGGCTGGCGGAGGAGGCCCTGGCCGATGTGGTCAGCAAGCAGCAGCTGCACATGCTTACGCGGCAACAGAAGCAGCTGCGCATCCAACAAAAGCTGAGCGACATGGATCGGGACACGCTCATGGAGGATGCCGAGTGCGTGGAGCTGCTTTGTCTACAGCAACTGAACGATTATGCTGCGACCGTGCGGACAGCCAATGTCAAGGGTTCGCTGCTGGCCAAACTGAAGCTGGAAGAGCTGCCAGAGGAGGCCCATCTGGTGGCCACCATCCACAAGAAGGCGGCGCCCGGCAAGGAGTTGCAGCTGCCCCCCGCCCAGGAGCTGATTGAGTTTCTGCAAAGGCAGCATCACAACGAGCTGCCCGGCAAGATTAAGTTCCGTCTCTGGCTGACGTTGCTCGCCCTCCACCATGATCTGAGTCGCAGCGACCAGCAAGAGCAGGCCAAGGATGTGCTGGAGCTGCTAATAGGTGAGTGCAATGATGGTGGCTCCCCCAATCCACTCCAATCCACCGGCAACTAACTCTCTCTCTCTCTCTCTCTCTCTATTTGCATTCAACAGATCTGATGCACTTTGGTCAGCCGCTGGCCATCTGCAGCCACTTTGGAAAAGCTGAGGGAGCTGCTGTCCTTGGTGCCCACCACCTCGGCGACTAGTTGGAAGTTCTACGAGACGCTCTTCTCTCGCTGCATCCGCCTTCATGCAGCTGGCAGCGAAGCCTTCCTTGCCAGCTGCTCGCAGTATATCAAGGAGGAGCTGAACGGCACCATGAAGCTGCCCGCGGAGGCATTACGTTTCCTGCTGCTGGCCATTGAAACCACGGCGGCCGCCACAGGACCCCATGCCAAGCATATGCAGCGACAAGTGCAGCCGCTGCTCGATATCTTTGGCCAGATTGTGGCGCACAAGTTCCGACCGACAAAGAAGAAGGAAACGTCCGACTACAAGTTGTTTGTGGATGAAACCATCAAGAGCTACGGCACCTATTTAAGTGGCTGCATCAATCGGTCAGACAAGCTGAAGAGGGCACCTGCATCTGCACCCCCACCCGCATCCGAGGACGCCCAGTCAGCCGAGACGGCGGAGGCGGCGCAGGAGCTGGAAACCATAAATGAGGACTTTCGTCGCATCTGCAAGATCTACATTGGACACTCGGTGAGGCTCGTGGCTCGTGGCTGACCAACTGACCAAATGGGAAGACCCCCTATTAAATTTTGCTTCCTCTGCAGCTGAACTACAAGAATCCCCATGCCCTGAGGCTGCTGAATGTGGCCATCTCGCATCGCCAGAAGCTGCACTTTGATCCAGACGAAGTCGAATTCGTGCTGAGCAGCTATTGGAAGCAGCTCTACTCGGATATAGCTGCCGGCGATATTGCAGCGCTGGATGTCAACTGCCTGGAGCTGGCCTTTCCGCTGATCATTGGCTACAAGACCAAGGAGGATCTGTTGGTTCTGCTGCGCACGCTCACCTCGGAGGTGCAGGGTTTGCCCTCGCCCCTAAGCCCGGCCCACCGGATCGAGCTGCAGAATGTCCTAACCATACTGTCCTTCGTCGCCAAGTGCTCTGTGAGCACCATCAAGGGAGCGGTAAGTCCTCTACTGGATTCCGCCATTCAATGATAACTAGCCTGATGGTCCCTCCCGGCAGATGATCAACAAACATTTCGAGATTGTCAGCACCAACGTGGCCGGCCGCCTGAAGGACAACGCCCACAACAGTAAGTGCCTCGCCCTCGTCCTGCTGGAGGCTCAGCGCCACTTGGCCAACAACCGAACAGTGCCGCTGACAAACGAGTCCCTCGAGTACCTGTTCGGCACCATGAGTGTGGTGGCCATCGATCAATTCATCGACCGCGGCGGCAACTGGGCCGACTTTAGCCAGCTCTATGCGGCGCTCACCGACAACTGTGTGGGGCTGCTGCGGCAGCATTCGAACCTGGTGTCCGATCGGGCTGGCCAGCTGTCCGCTGTCTGTGAGACTCTGATAAAGGCCATTGTCGGCTATCGGTCCGGCCGACAGCGGGCCCAGGACCTCACTGAGACGGAGCTGGACGGACTCGCCGAGCTGGGCCTCAAGCTGGCCACGGTGATGGCCAACATTGGGGCCACCCAGTCGCTGCCCTTGAAGCGAGTCGCTCCGTTCCTCCTGACATTCACCATCAACCAGATGGTGGAAACGGAGCGCCCAACCACCATCTTTGAAAAGGTTCGTATTGCCTTTGTATGTTGAGAGAGAGCGACTGGACATAATTGCCACATCGTTTCGCTTTGTTGCAGGTCAAAGTGAACATGGAGCGCGTGTGCCACGAACTGATTGGCATAAGCGACCACCGGTCGGGACAGTTCGTCCTGCGGCACAACACCACAGCGGGGTCGAACATGTACAGCAGGCTGCTCAAGGATCACGACAAGTATCACAAGTTCCGTGGCAAGGTGTAAGGAGTGAGGCAGGGGGAACGAAATCCTCATATCTTTTTGTTACTCCACAAAATACATTTATCTCTACATTAGCACATGTACATAAATTAATAAAGAAGCCAACAAACACAGACACAAGAGACACAGCTGGAATCTATCCCAAAAACAGCATGGCGAGGGTGCAAGTTGTACTTGTGGGCAAAAAGGACGCACATAAGCTACTAATTCATTGCCAATGCGCTGGGTTGGAGTGCAGAAAGTCAGGCCGGCGACCCTCACAAATTTGAACACCATCGTTTGGAATAGAAAAAAAAAAGCAGCCACGTGGCATTGTTGCCACTTGTCCGCCATTTTGTGTTTACCTCAAAGCCGGTGCTGAGAATAGCAGTTTTCGAGCATATTGCGTGTCCCAAGATGCACCAGCAGCAACACTTGAATAAGATATGCAACAGGGACTGCATTTGCTCAACTTTAAAACGATTTATGCGAAAATGTCTATGAATTTTGAGGTTAATACGCAGCTGCGGCACTCACACACAGACACGTGTGGAGTCGCCATTTTGGAAGCCAAAACAAAAAAGAAACCACGTGTCTTACAAAAGTGTTTATAAAAAACTTGGTCAAGAATCATGAGAAGGTGCCACTTATTCTTTGGAAGGTGTAATTTGTGTAGTGTCGTGTGGCTTTGTGTTTGATTCAATGACCAGTTTTTTATATATTTATTTAAATGTTAGTGTTTATGTGTGTAAAAAGCACCGTGAGTCGAGCACGTGTTATGCTTCCCCGGACTTAAACAATAAGCTGTTTGGTATTCTGTGGTGTGTGTGTAGTGTGTGGAGGGGAAGCAACCGACCCAACGGATGCCCTAAGCTAAATACATTTGGCAGCGCTCGCACAACGGATCAGTAGCCTCGTCGGGATGATTACCACTGCAGGGACGAAAGAAAAAAAGAGTTAGGACGCCGACGCACAAACACACACATGCATATGTACACTCACAATACAGTAACGCAAGCGCGGCAAATGAACGTGGAACACTCGCGGCAGGAGTAGCCGCACTCCTCGCACAAATCGTCTGTGCAATTGGCGCAGTGGTCGTGTATTAGGGTCAGGCGCTGGCAACAGCGTGAGCGCCTGCGCTCCAGTCGCGGATTTACGACGTCATTTGCCATGCTTCGAATCAGTATGCCACCGTTGCCTGTGAGTCCATACAGCCTAGATTGATCCATTGGTGGAGCGTTTGTAGCTCCAGCAGCAGCGTTGGTGGATGCACCGTTATCTGGACTGGCAGAGGCGACAGCGTTTGGAGCTGCTGCGCCTGCAGCAACAGCAGCGGCCCCAGCAAACAACATCTGTCGAGTTTTTTCTGCAAATGGGATGGGGAAACGTTTTGGTTTATTTTTTATGTTCTGTTCAGCACTTTTGTCGGTTGAATTTGTCTAGTTTACTTACCATGAATTTGCTTCATTTTTTCTGGATCAGAAGCGTCGCTTATTTTCTGTGTAACGAAAACCTTGCTTTGGATTTTATTATTGTTCAATAGATCCTCGGTGGGCGAGCGGGAGCGTTTCACTGACTTGGGCTGCTGCATAATAACAAACGAAAACCAAAAGAACTTTTAGCTGAGTTGCGGGCCAAGTTTAGTGCTGCAAAACGGCTAAGGCAAAGCTTGTGGCGTTAGTGCAAGTTTTTTAATATGCGGGCAGTATGTAGATTGCGCGAATTTGAATTTTTAAATATGTTTACTTTGCTCGCCTGCTAAATAATTTTTGAAATGAATAACTTTTTGCGTTGATTTTGTGGCCGGTAGGTTTTTTTTATCAAACTAGACACAAATAATTTTTACTATTGAATTCGCTTGCCGATTGCCGTTGATGCGTTTACTCTTGTGCTATATGTATATTTGTGGTTTAAGTGGGCTTTTGTTGATGCGAAAGTTTGAACTGTTTGTTATTTGATTGACTACCAGTGTTTTGTATTGTTGTATTGCTTTCGCTGGTAGTACTATCTGGAATGTTATTATGTATATCACTCCTTTTTGAGCATAGCTTTCGTGTTGAGTTTCTGCGGCTCATCAGAGTTTTTCACATATGCGCCTCGGTCGTAGGAACATTTTTTTAGAGAAAGAGCCCCGTCGTTTAGCGATATAGATTCCGAGCGTTGCTCATTTAAAGAATTTAAACCTTTTGTTATTTCCAAACGTCGCTGGGCAGCTTTTTGACGCTCTTGGCGGACGACGGCCAGACGAGCCATATCGGCTTGTATCTCGTTGGATCGTTTTGTGCTGTGGCTGCGACGTTGTGGTTGTGGTCCACGACCTAGCTTGAGCGACGAGACCTTCAACGGCTTCTCGATGATTTCATCTTTCCAGGTACGTCGCGGTTTTGAGCGGTTGGGATTCGAAATTTCAATCAGGCTATGGACACCTTTATTTCGTAGTATGCGTCCATATCTGCCTTTATCTTGATTTTCATCACCTCCTGTACTCTTCCGCTCATCCTCATCATCAGAGGCGGGAAAAGCGCTTTTTGACGAAGTCCCCTTCATATACTCTTCCAACTCCTGCTGCAGCTCATCGGCTGGTGTAAACTCACGGGTCTTGCCCTTGTGGTTTACCTGCTTCTGCCTGGGCATATTTAAGCGGCTATCAGCTAACGAAAACGTAAAGGAATAAATTAAAGAACAAATGTGGATGACCCACGCAATAATTTTTTGAGTTCAATTGTCGAATTGAAAACTCGGAATGCCAAAAGTAAATTTCAGCTACCTTTTAAATTTAATATATTGATATCGAGCCTATCGATAGACTGCTAAAGAATCAAAGGATTTAGTGCTGCAAATTGTGATTTTGTAGCATGCACTGACATTGTTATATTTTTAGGAATTCTAATTAATTTCATTAATATGTAAAAACAGAAGTTTCAAATCAGCTTGGAAAACGGAATTTTAACATTAATTAAAGAAACGGTATATTTCGGTATATTCATGAGGGTCAGATACTCTTTCGATAAGGTCGCGGTCACACTAGTGCCGGCTGTTGTTTTACAGCACTGATCTCAAGGGAGTAGAGCTGCCAAACGATTGATAGTTAAGTCATCGATATTTTTGAATGCTTTGAAAAAACAATCGATACTATCATGATAGTATCGGGCTCAAATAATTATTAAAAAACCATTGAAACCTTTTAGGAACCTGTCCATTGTAAAAATTAGATACCACCTGACGATTTTTTTTACAAATTTGTCTTCGTATTTTATAGCAGCCAATCCAAACATATCAAAAGCGCAACGACTGTAGCTCGATACTATCATGATAGTCTCAAAACCATCGACAGTAGAGGCTAGCAGCAAAATATCGATACTATCGATAGTGCCCTCTTTGGTTGGACACCGGGAGCATTTTTTTCTTTGCTGTGTTTTCTAGCAAAAATATAGTTTTACATTAAATTTCTCACAAACTTCCAATAAAAATGGATGTTCGCCCGAATCAGACCATCTATATTAACAACCTAAACGAGAAGATCAAGAAGGAGGAGCTGAAGAAGTCTCTCTATGCCATCTTCTCACAGTTCGGCCAGATTCTCGATATTGTCGCCCTGAAGACACTGAAAATGCGCGGCCAGGCATTTGTTGTATTCAAAGAGATCGGCAGTGCGTCCAACGCATTGCGCACCATGCAGGGCTTCCCGTTCTACGACAAGCCCATGCGTATCGCCTACTCCAAGTGCGACTCGGACATTGTGGCCAAGCTGAAGGGCACATTCAAGGAGCGCCCCAAGAAGGTGAAGCCGCCAAAGCCGACACCGGGAATCGAAGACAAAAAGTGAGTAGCCACGATTCCATTCGCATGCAGAAACCATAATCAATTTTTTTCGCTTCCGCCCCCAGGGACAAGAAGAAGAAGCCGGTCACCACCGAAAATTCGAATCCAAATACTCAAACGGAGCAGCCGCCCAATCAAATTCTATTCCTTACCAATCTGCCGGAGGAAACCAACGAAATGATGCTGTCGATGTTGTTCAATCAGTTCCCCGGCTTCAAGGAGGTCCGCCTAGTGCCCAACCGCCACGACATTGCCTTTGTCGAGTTCACCACCGAACTGCAGAGCAATGCCGCCAAGGAGGCACTCCAGGGCTTAAGATTACACCTACACACGCCATGAAGATTACTTTCGCCAAGAAGTAGGACCACCAAGGCTGTAGTGCAAACACTCCCCGAAGCCCCCAAACCCGAGTAACATTTTTTTTTAAAAATGCTAATTTAAATAGAATAAACCAAACCATTATAAACAAAACAATTTGCAAAGTTTTGGTTGAACGGTGAACATATTTAATCAACATATTTAACCATTGAACAAAATATTCTAGTTGTAAGTTATCAGTTGAACAATTGGTGTGTTGTTAGTTTGTGTTTAGTTTTTTAAACAAATCTTAACATGTGTTATGTGCAATGCGTAATTGGTAGCCCACACAATTACGCATTAATGCATGGAATTGGTGGCAAATGTTGCAAATATCTCCAGTCGGTTATTTTGTTTAAGAACATGTTTTAACGTGTGTACAATTTTTAGATAATTCTCACCAGCATTTTGTGTTTCTGGTTGGTGCTGTGATAATCGTGTTGTTGGTTGTTTGGCTGTTTTTTTAGTTGCCTTTGTTGCTATTGCTCATATTTCTAGTTTTTAGTTTTTGTTTGCTTGCATTTTGTGTGCTTGGATGTGTGTTCTGGTTGTTTAGTGTCAGAAAATTGTACATTTCCGTCTGTTTGGGTCACACTTTTTGCTGATACCTGTGCTCCTTCCATGCCTCGTTTTCCAGGACGACCTGACTGGTCGAAGGCATCAATAATGTTGTTTGGTGTCTACAAATCATGCATTTTGTTACATCAATGAATTGCTATGAATTTGTTTCGACAACTCACTGTGCTCTTCTGTTGTGTTGTATGAGGCTGCTGCACCTTTTGGTGTACGGGTTTTCAGTTCTCCTGGCTCGCCTCGATGACGCCATCGTTGGTGGTGGTGGCGGCAGCTGCATCCTCAGCATCAGCGGCCTCCGATTCGTTTGAGCTGAGGGCGCACACATTGCTGTCGCTGATGCTTTCCCCCTCGCACGGCTCGTGGTCGTTGTTGTTCTGGTCGTACTCGAACTCGCAGTCGCAGGCCACATACTTCTCCATGGACTTGGCCAGCTTTTCGGAGTTGCAGCCAACGAAAACATCGACCACGGCCCCGTTCTTGATAAACACGAACGTGGGCATGCTGGTCACGTTGTACTGGATGGTTATCTCCTCGTTCTCGTCCACGTTCACCTTGAGGACGACGGCCCGGTCGGCATACTGCTGGGCCAGCTCCTCCAGCTTGGGGCTGATTATCTTGCAGGGTCCACACCAATTGGCATAGAAGTCGATCACGATCAGCTTGTCGCCTGCCTCGGTGACCTGCTGATCGAGGTCCTCCTTGCTCTGCACCAGATGCACCATCGTTAGTGGGGCTCTAAAAGAAAAACCAAAACCGAAATGCACAAACACAAACAAATTTTCAACACAATTTTTGATTTTTTTTTTCACTTTTTTCGACTTACGATTTAAGAAAAATCAAACAACCTTTTCGGTTGAGGAGCGAGTAACGACTGATTTCAGGCTGGGGCAAACTACAGAATGAAGCATACAACCAAGACTTTTTCAAATCCAAGGCCTACTTAATGCACAAATTTATTTCAAATTTTATACTGGCTTCGATAGTTTTACCCGTTTGCGATATCGTTTACGAAGTTTTGGTCCACTGGGAAGAGACATTGCAATTCCACGAATTCCAGCTTTATTGTGTAGATAAAAATGGCGGGAATTCCATAATCCGCTAATCGGCCCCGAGCGAGGCTATAAAAGGTACCCTGGGAAACACGCGGACCCCACAAGTAGCGAAAATTTGACGTCGAGCCAACGCATCCTCCGCTTGAGCAAAACCTCGAGACTGCAAAAGTTCTTTACACAGTTTTTGTTGAATCATCGTGTGCCTCTTACTCATTCCAACCAAAAATGTCTTGCATCCGTGGCATGAACGACTTTAAAAAGAAAATGGAAGCTGCCGAGGGTAAGGTGGTGGTCTTGGACTTTTACGCCAACTGGTGCCAGCCCTGCAAAGACATGGAAAAGGCCGTCAAGGCCATGGCCCTCAAGTACTCCTCAAAAGCGGTGGTACTCAAGATCAATGTGGACAAGTTCGATGATTTGACGGAGCAATACAAGATCACCCACATGCCCACATATATCTTCCAGCGGGGCACGAAGCGCCTTGACCGCTACACGGGCAACGATGAGAAAAAACTGATGAAAATAATGGCAAAGCTGATCAAGTAAAGCCAACCAAAGCCTCAGGCGGGAGACTGCAGGCGCCATCGCAAATTTTAACCTAACTTATTTTTTTTATTGAATGTGCGTTATATGTCTTTGTAAACCTCAAAAGAGGGAAAATGTCTTTGTGTATGTTTAGAATATAAGAAAATATGTATTTTTTTGTCTGGAAACTGTGAAAATTGTCAAACATAACCTCAATTAAATATTAAGCGAAAATTATATTCGGCATCTGCGATGTCGCTCCCCTTCCCCACACGCTTTAGCATAACCTCAATCTTACATAAGAAGAAGAAAACGAAAAGGAAAAGGGAAAAAAAAAACAAAAAACAATTGTGTATGTATGTAGTCGTGCATCTGTGATGCGAAAAGAAAAATGTTGCCATAAAATTAGATTTGATGGATATTTAACGTGTAGTGTAAGCTTGGAATGCCGCCGTAAAGAAGAAAAACTACTCGAAATGCCTTTTATATGATAATTTTGATTTAAACTTTAGAAATAAAGATTCCAACTTTGACTAAAAATTATGGATATGTGAATGTGAATTGTCTAAGTTGGCTTTGGGAAAAGGGGGCCTTGGCTTTTGACTTTTGGCTAAATGGTTCGCTCAGTCACATTAGGAAAAATCTTAAATCACATACACATGAAAAAATCACTTTCGTTATAATAAAAACCCGACAAAAAAACTTTAGGACGCAGCTAAATTCTCAATTGCAGTTTTAACCAAAATCAAAATCAAAGATAGTCTAGTCCCAACACACACCACCCCTTCTGTTCTCCAGCAGATAGCAGATTGCAGCATCTTACCAGTATGTCTTACCAGATCAAATCGACGCCGTATTTCCGCCGCATGTACAACAACAGCAAGCGGAATGGCCAGCTGCAGCGTTTGAGGGAGGAGTACGAGCGGATACAGGAGTTTAACGATCGCACCATCGAACTGAAGATGCGCCAGGTGAGGCTGAAGCGGCTCTTCCGCGAAATCGAGGAGATCAAGGAGGGCCCCGCACCCATGGCTGGCACTAGCACTGGTCTTGTCTCTGGTCCTGCCCCCTGCAACGCTGGAACCTCCTTTGCCACGTCCAGGGCGATGCACCGACGCCGTCGACAGGAGCTGGTGGCACCAACGGTCGAGCAGCAGCAGTATCTGCAGCGCCTGGACACGCTGGCCCGCGCCAAGGAGCTGGGCAAGGAGATTTCGCGCCGCAATGGCGAGCTGGCCGAGGCCGGTGTGGGCCACAGTCTGCGCAGCGATCTGCGGCTGACCACCAAAATGCAGGCGGCCGTCAATGCGAAGCGCGCGGCAGCGGACAGACGGGAGCGGACCGCCAAGCGGATCAGCTACGGCAATGCCCAGTCCAAGCAGAATCTGCAGCGCATCGTCAGCAGCCGGCAGCGGCGTCTCTGTGGTGGTGGATTCACTGGCACGGGCGTCGCCGCTGCTGGCTCGATGGACTACTGCTCCTCTGGCAGCTCCGGCCAGCAGGGGCCAGTGGCGGCCATCAACATGTCACGGCTGCAGCGTCCGGATCTGACCAAGAAGGCCATGCTCAAGCAGCGTCTGAACTACGGCAACTCCCGCTCCTGCAGCAACATGAGGCGTCAGGGACGCCAAAAGCAAGCCCAGGGCCAATCCCACGGCCACGTGCAGGTGGCTGGGAAATTGTCCAGCCAGCTGGATCTCCTGCCCGACTCCGAAGAGGAGGGTGATGATGAGGAGCAGCAGGGGTTGGAGCTACAGAGCGAGTCATCTGGTCACCGCCTGGACATGGACCACTACACGCCCAGCAGCGGCAACAGCGCCGGCACCCCAGTGGAAGACCACGAGCCACCAACCACGTCATTCAGAGAGCAGGATGACTCCGAGACAGAAATGTTCACGGCTCCTCTGGCGTCTACATCCCAGGCAACAGTACAGAGCCCCAAGTGCCCCAGGCACGAACCCATTCCGGCCCAGAATGTGGCCATGAGCCAGGAGGATGCTGTGTCTAGCACTCAGGACAACAACAACTGGCGCCGCATCTCCCTGACCCTGCCGTGGTTCAAGGCTTTCCCCAGATTCCTGGATGGCACCCTGCCAGTCTGCGCCACCGAGAGCATCTCGTCCAGCAGCAGCTTCGATGATCTGGTCGCCCCCAACCCCACCCACTTGCCGCCGCAGCATCAGGGATTCCTCCTGCCGCCCTTCAGGTTCCGCAAAACAAACAACTAGAAGGTGCTGGACAGGAAAGAACGAGACGGGGCCACGCAGCGATGAGGGACCAAAGCAAACAAACACACAGAAATGAACAAATATCAAATTTTAGTTGGATTCCAGTACAAGACTGGACCCGTGACCGGATCTGTGCTCAAGATTCAGGTCCAGATCCCACCGAAAGGGTAAGCATGGAATCCAAGGGGGGGATCCATGGGATATGCTAATCATCCACTGATCCTCCAGAACACAGGCGTGGCGGCTACAATTCTACTTTTTTGAACCCCGCTACGAGCGAGAGAGAGGCAAAAAATTCCAATTGTAACTCCCGAGACGCCAATCCCCCCTGCCCATAGTGTGGGGACCATACAGACGGACCGGACACGTGTCCAGGAGGGAATCCTCCTGCAGCAGAAGCGGAATACCAACTACAGGTGAAGACAGATTAGATGGATACAGAGAATAACACAGAGAATAAATTGAAATTTATTTGTTTTGGGCAAAACGCTACAAAGTTCATGCTTTATTTTTGTTTCTGTTTCTGGATTCTTGGCATCCAAATATAAAAAAAAGTACCAAAAAAATAGCAGAATATTCTTATAACTTTGAGGCATTGTATATGCACATTCACGTTCCTTCTCGTCCTTTCTTTTCTATGATAATGATTCCGTTTGTACTATCTTCCTTCTGCGCTTCGATTGGTTCTGCTTCTTTTTCTGCTAAATCTCTGTTTGCTGCTCCACAATTATGAGTGGATTCTGATGCCGATTCTGTATCTGTGTGCTTTTCTTTGTCCTTTGTCTGCTTATTAATGGCCAGCAATTTTTCGTAATAAGCGCGACGCTTCTTATCCTGCTCCTTGGCTTTGAGCGCGGCTTCCTTCTCCAGTTTCTGCCAGGGCATCTCCTGGTTCTTGTAGCTGACAAGCCAGTCGAGCAGCGCCTTTTGCAGGTCCTGTCGAAGAGGCTGCTTGCTTGGGGGAATCTTAAATTGCTTTAAATACGATGTTGTGGACATGATTTCATTGAAATCTTCATCCCCCCTATCTATGGGAATCAAACCAGTCTCGAGCATTTCAAATCTAAACGAGAGGTGGAATGGGAGTTCAGTGGTTCAGCATTTTAAATGAATCTCCCAAGGGAATACTCACGAGGGGAGACGCTCGCAAAAATAGCGAATGCGGCGTCCACAATGCTGTCGGATAATTTGCTTGTCAAAGTGTTCGCTTTCGCCAGCGAATTTCTTCCGAATCATATAGCTGTTCAGCGACTTGTTAGAGCGCTTGTATTTGTAAATTTGTATGAAGTAGATCTCCTCCTGCAGGTCCTCCTCAATTATGTGGGCAAAGCACTCGCGAGACATAACTGTACGACGGAAGGTGTCCGTCACATCGGCAGGCCATGTAAAGGCCAGCGGATGGACATGCGAGAGTGCTCCCCTGACGGCCATGGCCGGCATATTCGTGTACAGTTCAGGTAAGAAGCGCAGCTCGGTGCGTGCGATCTCCTCCAGACAGCCATAGTCCACGTAGAAGACAGAAACGTGCGTAGAATTCTCCTGCGGTGCGGACACAATGCGAGCCCGCTTCCAGCCTCCCCAGTTTGATTTGGCGGCACAAATGTATCCAGGGCGTAAGAAAAACCGAGTGACTGGCAATCCGTATAAACCGATTGCTTTTTTGTAGAAGTCGCTGTGGATATAGATAGATATATGTATGTATGTATCTCCGGTGAGGCTGCTGTCCAGAACAGGGGAATGGGAGACACAACAACATACCTTAGCTCAATATGCAGATCGTGCAGATTGTAACCATAATCGTTCTCAAGGAATTGGAACCAAAACTGAAAGGGGCTGTACACCTGAAAGAACAGAAACGGTTCATCAATGAATATCACACAGTTTGTGCTTCCTCAGAGGCAAGCATACGCATACGCATACATTGGTTACAAGGATTCTGAATTTGGCCTGGCGGTCGGCGGTTTCCATGGACCACATGGGCAAGCGGGGCAGCTTCTGGCCCAGCATCACCGCACAAAAGGGTCTATCCACCATGAACACCGAATCCGTCTGCTCACAAAAAAAGAGAGAATTAAATATATCCAAAGATTATATGGGGGATGCCGTTCACTGACCAAACAGCACTTCGGTGTGGCCTGACCACGAAAGGCTGCCCGGATTTCTACGCCGGATTCCTCTTCCTGCTGATCCACTACGTCGTCATCACTATTGTAGCTATATGTCAAATTTTCAGCAGCAGTGGCCTCTCTGTTCAGGCTATTAGCCTCGGGCTCCACGAGCTGAGCTTTGGACTCGCCGGACAGGGGTATTGCTTCTTCCTCGAATAACGACTCCGAATCTGCCTTTTTCTCGAATGACGAGTCAGGCTGTGCTTCTTCCTCGGACGACGAGTCAAGCTGTATCCTTTCCTCGAATGACGAGTCAGGCTGTTCCTGGATATTCTGATAAATCATGTATTCTTTGCCATCGTCGCATAATTGGCGACGGCCCAGCAACGGAGCACATTCGTCATCAGTGTCTGAATAATTCTCAGTGTCGCTGATGTCGTCTCCACTCTCTGCCAGTGGCAATCCAACAACTGATTGCGGCTAAAAATTTACCAATTGTACGTGTAAATTCCATTTTCAGTTCCCACAGCACTTACCTGGCATACGGAGGTGGAATCCGCATATGCATTTTTTTGTTGGTTGTCAGCTTCGAAGCACATGAAAGTATCTTGCACTTGGCGCTCCACATCGCTTTGTTTCTGACCATGGCGAAAGGTGCCACTGGTTGCCTGGTCGATTTGTGCTAGTTTTTCCATGCTTTATTTATTAAAGTTAATGTATTAATAAACGATTTCGTGCTAATAAATCCTCGCAAAAGCAACGAGCAGCATAAATGGACGCGCTCGGACCGGGTGGCAACGCTAGATAAGTAACGGAAAATTGAGTATCGGTAAACTATTAAATTTTAAAATGTTTGCATTGGTTACTGTAGTTATGTTTTACCTAATTTTATCTTAATTCGGAGCACATTTCCATTCGAATGCTTTGTAAGCCAAGTCAATGGTCGCTGCAGCGAATGGCCTAAAATTTACGCCAATTTACAGGGATGTATCTGCACTGCAGCGTTTTTCGTTCAAAAATATCGATAACGACAGCAGATGATCTGGTTTGTTTACCGTGCACGTGCTGTGGCCGGAATTGTTAATTGTTATTAAAATTAAATTAAGTTAAAATGGACAGCGAAGCAGATGATTATGAGCTGACCGGCTCCGAGCAGGAGTACGATGAGGACGAGCGCGAGATCCTGGAAGACTTGCGCAAACAGCGTAACAAGCGTAAGCAAGACGCATCTGCACCACAGGAGATTCTGGCATTCAGCGATGACGATGAGGACGATGATGACAATGTGGCTGACCTGATGCGCGACAGCGACATTGAAGGGGCTGACGATGATGACGATGGCCACTTGCCAAACACCATGGACTGGGGCAGCAAGCGAAGCACCTACTACAACACAGATTTCGTGGACCCCGACTACAGCAGCTACAACGCCCAGGAGGAGGAGGAGGCCAAGGCCGAGGAGGAGGAGGCCAAGAAGATTCAGCTGCGCCTGGCCAAGCGATTCAGCGAGGCTGACTTCCAGCTAGACGATGTGCCCGCTGCCAGCAGTGACGAAGAGGCTGATGACGATGTGGCCAAATCCCATGGCATCAAGGTGACAGCCGATCTGACGGGTCTCACGGGGCGCGAGCGCCTGCAGCTGCTACAGAAGGACTCGCCCGAGTTCCTAGGCCTCACCCAGGACTTTCAGCTGCATCTGGCCGAGGTGCAGCAGCTGATCACGCCCGTGCTCAACTACGTGCGGAACCATCAGACGGTTCCCATGGTGCCGGCCCTGCAGTTCGCCAGTCTCTACCACAACGTCCTGGCCACCTACTGCTCCAACGTGTCCTACTACCTGCTGCTCAAGGCCAGGCGCAGCAATGTCAAGCTGCATCCCGTGGTCAAGCGCCTCGTGCAGCTGAAGCAGCTGCGTGAACAGCTTACGCCACGCTATGAAACGTACATCAAGCCCCAGCTGGAGGCTCTGCTCGAGCGTATCCAGGATGGTGATGCCTTCACAGTCCTCGATGTCGCTCAGCGCAAGGCCAAACTGCAGATCCTCAACAGATTCGATCAGAGCAACGCCAGGGAGAACGGCATTGCGACCGCTGAAGATGCCCCTAGTGACAGCAGCGATGACGAGGATGACGCAAATCTGGCGCCTGACCAAGACGAGGCTGAGGAGGAGAACGACGACCCTGAAGGTGTGCGCCGCGGCATCACTTATCAAATGGCCAAGAACAAGGGCCTCACTCCACACCGCAAGAAGGAACTGCGCAATCCCCGTGTGAAGCATCGCGGCAAATACCGCAAGGCTCTCATCCGGCGCAAGGGCGCCGTTCGTGCTGTACGCAAGGAGACGCAACGCTATGGCGGCGAAATGTCCGGCATTAAGGCCACTGTAACCAAGAGCGTCAAATTCCGTACATAAATAAAGGAATCCAATATTTTTCTACACATTTTGTACATTTATTTACTTTGTTTTTGTTTATACTGCTGCACGGAAATGGTGGGGCGGGAGGGAACAACATTTAAACTCGTCCGTACGCATGGCGTATATTTGGGTGGCTGTGGGGGGTTAGGGGATTCTTTCCCTTCTTTAACAATTTAAAAAAAAAAACAAAAAAAAAAGGAATCGTCACAGACGCGCCTGTTCTAGAAAACAAATTTAAATTAAAAGTTCATACAATCTCTTATATACCTAATTTAAATCTAGTTTCATTTTATTTAGCCAAGTAATTTACGAAAATCTTCGTTTGACTTGGGCTTCTCCGACGATGTCGTTGGTGTATTGGAGGAATCTGGCTGCGTTGCTGCTTTCTCCTCATCATTCATAGCCACGTCCTCTGTCTTGGGGGCCGCGTCTGCCTCAGTGTCAAGTGACAGCACCTTGCGACGCTTGCTGGCCAGCATCTCACGGCGCACAACACTCGGTATTAGCGATGTGGCCCGCTAAACGACGTTTGACTGGCAAGACATTCGACGTCTTTGGTGGGGGATCAGAAATGGCAACAGATAGCTGCAACGGGGGGAATGAACGGCAATGCTTAGCGCTCCCTGGCATTCTCTAGTGTTCTATTATCTGTCTACTTACCACAGATCCGTTCAGATTATGGCCATTCAATTGTTCAACAGCCTTCTGGGCCGATTCCGCCTGTTCGTATTCAATGTACGCAATGTTTTTGCGTGTCTTGTACTGCCGACTGAGGAGTGGTAGCTTTTTGTGCACAATCCGAACATCCTTCAACGTGCCACAGGTGGCAAAGAGTTCTTTAAGCGTTTCTGCTGTGACATTTGGCAGAATGTTCTTGACAAACACTTTGGTTTTTTCCAGTTCCGCTGCAATCAAACCAAATATTTATTTATATTAAAATTTCCACCATTTGCCCATTCAATTCATGCTTCCATTTTCTAACGTTTCTTGAATACTCACTTGAATACTTGAGACCTGGTGGTGGTGGTGCTGCGGCTTCTTTGGCACGTGGGGCAGCTGCTTCTTTGGCACGTGGTGCACCTGCTGCTGCATTGGCACGTGGTGCTGCTGCTGCTTGGGCTCGCGATGGTGGCTGCGATGTCCGCATTGGTTTTCTCTCTCTTGGCTGCTCACGCCTATGCTGATGCCAGTGGGGCTCTGGCGGCAGTTCTATCTTCTGGCATGTGGTTATGGACTTGTAGTCGCCATGGCAACGCTCGTAGCGACGATATTGTTCGAGAACAAAGTGGCCATCCTTCAGGACGGGCTGACCGAGGGCCAGATTCAAAATCTCGCGACAACGAACACCGCCATTATATTCGGACTCCATCTGGGCCCACGTCATCCAAAGGTAACCGCTTCGCTGGCTGTCCTCGAAAGCTGCAACAAAAGTTGATAGTTAATCATTGTGGAGATACGACGGAGAGAGAACAAAAAACTCTTACACATGATGTACTCCCAGACTTTGTATCCCAGTGCTGGGTTCAATAGTTTGGAATACTCTACTTGGGCATAGAGCTGCAGCACCTCGTAGCTGGTGTCGGCCTTCTCGCCGTACAAATCGGAGAGTATGTTCCACGCGCCATCGAATCTCTGGCGCAACTGTGTGCACTGATCCATGTCCGATATATCGCAGTGGCGTACCCTGTACGCCAAGTAGTCCAAATGCAGCTCCACCGTCGCCTTTGTGTTGATTTCCAGCCTGTGAAAGATGCCCTCCAGCACGTTATCCACCTCCTGAACGCTGCAGCCTTCGGTCTCCATCAAATGGATGAGCTTGTGGTTCACCAGCCTGCTGTATGTGCTCATCGCAGCGCGCTTGGCCAGTTCCAGGGGGCTGCTTATCTGGTAGCCGCCTGTGGGTCGCTTAACACTCTTGTTGGCGTAGTTTATGTAGTCGAGCCAAACCCTTTCGACTGGCGGAAAATTCGAGACGGTTATTTCAAAGATTGTGCAACCAAGAGCATCGCGAATCTCGTCGGGGTAGTCCATATTGTTGATTTCCTCCAGCTGCAGAATGTGCACCGGGGAGAAGCACTCCCATTCGACATTCTCACGAGCATCACGTATGAGGGTGCTCAGCTTCTTCTTGTACTGATCCAAAAGCTCAGCCAACTCCGTACACTTTGCATCATTCGAGTTCCAGTTGATGCAGCGAGTCTCCATCACCGCTTTAATGGCTTCGGTATTTTTGTCTGCATTTGCCGCAGAGACCAAGAGCTCACGCAATTTCTCTATAAAATCAGGATTCTCCAAGGAGTACTTGGACAGCAGCGACGACCACAACGAGATGTTGTCGATGTTCTTCTGGGCACACATATAGTTGCAGATCATATTGGCCAAATCAACATCTAACAGGTGACAAATTACAAATGACAAATGAGAACATAAATAAGGTGGGCAGAAGGTGCGTGTGTTGTGCTTACCATAATAGGAATTCAAGGCTTCGGCGCAATCCTCTTCGAATGCAACGTGCTCCTCGGGAGAATGGGTAACCAGGAGACGAACGCGCAGGTATTTGCGCCATAGCTCAGGTGGCATGATGGCAATCTTTTTGAACTGCACAGCAGCCTGCAGAATCGAATCGTAATCATTTAGTGTGCTGCGGATAAAATAAAACAACAATACGGTCAGAGTTGTGGCCATGCCATGCAAATAGTTTCTACTTACTAGGCAATCTCGCTCATCCGCATCACTTGGCGGTACGTTAAGTTGCTATATTTTGAAAATTTGTCAAACTCTGCCTTCAACTCCAGCTCCTGTTTTTCCTTAACCAGCGATTTCGAGTCGGAGTCGCTCGAGGTCATCGAATCACAGTCGGAATCCGAATCAGAGCTTATTTCAATAGGGGCAACGATATTGAGGGTGTTGCTGACATCCCCGGCATTTTGAGCCTGCACAAATTTGTTCATGTTAGTTTTCACAGGCCACTCCAAGCATCCACTGAGAGTGCACTTACCTCTTCAGCTGCGTCACTATCCATATTGATAAATTCTTTTCTTTCAAGATGGGTTTATATGCAGTCTTGAAAAAACAGAAATTCTGTTTTTACGCGCGAATAGTTCTTCACAATTTCTGCGGCGTCGGAAAGAGAAGTATTGATGGTTGTCTGGTTGTATTGGTGTATTTGTTGTCTTCCAAAACTATCGGTAACATTTTTGGAGTCGATATTTTAAAAACATAAAATTAACGCATGATAATAAAATAATTAAAGCTAGCGCATTTCAATTAATCAATTTTTTAAAATGTAAATTATCGAAGCCGCAATATGGTAAGTTTAGCAATTTAACAATCCATGTTTTTTGATATAAAGCAAAAATTAACCACCATGTTTTCTCACCTTGTGTACTATCTAAATAAAAAGATATCGATATTATAAATATCAAAATATCTTAAAATATTGAACAAATAAACTTAACTTTTAACTCTTTTTTCTGCGAACACAATCATTTTCGGATAGCGAGAAATCACTTGTCAATTTAATTGATATTTAATTGATATATCAATAATGTTGTGCGATCTTATGGTCGCACTGGCCGAAACCTCGTTATGGTCACACTGCTCCCGCTCTGCACTTGCTATATATTCCCTTCCCATACGTGCACAAATTAATTCTGTTTTGTATTCCCGTAAACGTTCTCGTCGTCACGTCGCTGCAGCCACAGCAACAACACAAGCCACAAACAAAAACAGAAACAAAAACAACGAAGATAAATCGAAACGACGCAGTTGTAATTTGGCAATGTTATTGCTCTAGTAAAGTGCAACCACAAGCGGAAAAGCAGAAACTAAACCAACAACAGAATGCAGCCCTTGCATCAACTGCTGCTGCTGACGTCGCTACTCCTGGTGGCCGGCGGCGGCATTGGGTTCATCCCCCAAGTGCTGGGGGCTGAACCGGAGGAGGTCAACATTGTCCACTACCAGCCGGAGCAAGTGCATCTGGCCTTTGGCGGTGAGTCTTTCATTATATAAATAAACATTTTGTGTCGTGTGAGAATGAGTGTGTGTGCATGCCACGCATGATGTGTCCAAATGACTGTACTATCCCATCCCAGTGCTAAACTGCAAGCGAATCAAATCGCGCACTTGCACTAATCCCCTCCACTCCCAATCCCAAGGGCGATGGAATGTTCCAGTTACAGTTACAGCTCCACCCCGTTGGCACATGCATGTCGATCGCCTCCAAATGGAGCAAAGGCTGACTGCACTCAGGGGAACAATTATCAGCTGTCCAGGGCTCTCTCGTAACTCTCGCAAAGTTGTTAACTTTAAGTACAGCTTACACACACTTTCTTTTTGGGGGAGAAACATTATTCTTTTCGAAACTTCTGGAGCTGTCATGGTTATAGATAGCCTCCCAAGTAAACATACTGGGAAAGCAAATACCAAATCCAATTATAGAACTCGGTGTTGAAACGTGTGTGAGTGGCGCGTGGTGGGAGGGGGGGGCCCAAGCCTAGCCCCTATTATAGCGATAAGGGCGTAATCCGAGCAGCTTTTTGTGCTAGTTTCTGTAGCACCCATTGCGATAAGAAAACAATAACAATAACAGTAGCAATGACACGAGCTGCGGAACAAAGCAAACAAAAACAATAGAAATTAATCAGCAACGACATTTGATCTTGAATGCCTCTGATGCACCGCACCGAACTTCCCCCTTCTTTGGCCAAAAACGAAATTGCTCAAGTTTTGTTTCTTTTTTCTGCATTCCCGCATCCCTCGGCTTCAACCTCGCCAGAGCGCACCGCCAGCGAGATGGTTGTTACCTGGTCAACGCGCAGCCTGCCGCCGGATACGGCCAGCATTGTCGAGTACGGACTGATAGTGGCCGGACAGGCGCCCTCCTCCAGGCTCAATCAGCGTGCCCAAGGCACGGCCACCAAGTTCGTGGATGGCGGCCGCAAGCACTCCACGCAGTTTATCCACAGGGTATGCGCCTAGCGAGCAGGGTCCACTCTGCAGAGCACAGCCACTCATCCACTCCGCTCTCATTGCCTCCACTTAGGTGACGCTTAGCCAGCTAGAGGCGAACTCCTCCTATGCCTACCACTGCGGCAGCGCCCTCGGCTGGTCGGCCGTCTATCAGTTTCGCACGGTGCCCGACGCCGATGCAGACTGGTCGCCCTCGCTGGCCATCTACGGGGACATGGGCAACGAGAATGCCCAGTCGCTGGCCCGCCTGCAGCAGGAGACGCAGCAGGGGATGTATGATGCCATCATCCATGTGGGTGACTTTGCCTACGACATGAACACGAAGGAGGCGCGCGTCGGGGATGAGTTCATGCGGCAGATAGAGACGGTGGCCGCCTACCTGCCCTACATGGTGGTGCCGGGCAACCACGAAGAGAAGTTGTGAGTAGTCGGTAGTCGGTAGAGGAGTCCAGGGAGGACAGGGGTGCTGTGCTAATTCCGTGTGCTTTCCGTGCAGCAATTTCTCCAACTATCGGGCCCGATTCAGCATGCCGGGTGGGACGGAGAACATGTTCTACAGTTTCGATCTGGGACCCGTGCACTTCATCGGCATCTCGACGGAAGTCTACTACTTTATGAATTACGGCGTCAAGACCCTGGTCTTTCAGTACGAATGGCTGAGGAGGGACCTGGAGCAGGCCAATCTGCCTGAGAATCGGGCGAAGCGTCCGTGGATCATCATCTACGGCCATCGGCCCATGTACTGCAGCAACGAGAACGACAACGACTGCACCCACTCGGAGACCCTCACCAGGGTCGGCTGGCCCTTCGTTCACATGTTCGGACTGGAGCCGCTCCTCTACGAGTTTGGCGTGGATGTTGCCATCTGGGCCCACGAGCATTCGTACGAGAGACTGTGGCCCATTTACGACTACGAGGTGCGCAATGGAACGCTCCGGGACTCGCCCTACGAGAATCCCGGGGCGCCGGTACACATTGTCACTGGTTCGGCTGGCTGCAATGAGGGACGCGAGCCTTTCAAGGGCAAAATACCCGAGTGGAGTGCTTTCCACAGCCAGGACTATGGCTATACCCGCCTTAGGGCCCACAATCGCACCCACCTGCACTTCGAGCAGGTCTCCGACGACCAGAACGGAGCCATCATAGATCAATTCTGGCTAATCAAATCGAAACACGGCAGCTATCTGAATCAGAACTGAAGGCCAGGGCCTCGAAACCAAGCTGAACGAGTCTCCGTCAACCGACAACCGGCCAACAACCTGAGCACATATAGCTAGAACATTTAGTAGGAATTGTAGGATAACTGGCAGTATTATTAGCGCACATTCACAATCACAAATCAGGAATTAGCTTTACCTGGCGGCTGTAACATTTCCCCATTCCCCTTCGAGCCCAGAACAAACAACAAACTGTATTTTAACTAGACATTTCCAATGGCCCCCAGGCAATTATGTGGACACTACTTTTGCATCAAAGTGCATTTAGTTTTAATATCTATACTAGACATAAATATTTACATATGTATGTATATATTCTAAGAGCCCCGGTACTCGCATTGATATCGGAACAGAAGGTGGAGGGAGCTAGCGCTAAGTTATGTTGTTTCTCTATATATTTTAATTTACCTTGTGAGCGGCAGAAGCTCCTTTGTCCGTCTGAATTGTGTATCATTTATGTACACGTGTTGTGTACATATATATATGTATATATGATGGACTCTTATGGATTATCGGGCGATGTTACCCCTCATTCGTTTTCTTAAATGTAGCTAATTTATTGTCGCTCATTTCAGTGAGGCGAGCATTCTAAAAAGACGCTAACGAAATAACATCAGTTCGGTTTGCTTATAATATGTAAGTACATAGACTGAACGTCTGTCCCGCTCAGATTTCAAGTGAGAAAGGAGGGCACTTTAGTCATTATTGCTGGCGACGCCCCGGACTTGTGCTATCCACAGGTACGCGTAAACGAGGCATCATTAACATTGAAAGTGAGGAATGATCCGGGGTGTTCCTGCTTACATACATCTTGGAAGTACGCTGCATTCTTAAATGGTTTTAAGAGGACGCAGCGAAACTGCCTGCAAAAACAATGTTGCAGAGAATTCTTAATACAATGTTTGATAAACTTTTTGCCCCTTGGGGTCCACTAACCTAACCTATGTGAATATTGTAGAGATCAATCTATCAAGCTATAAATATTGTATTCACCGTAGATCCGCTCTATAATTTTGTTTAAAAAGCCTTTCTTCTTTTTGGGTTATAGTTTATATTTTATTTTACCTGCAGGCGAAATGTTAACAAAAATAGTTAGCGGTGTTCTATACCTACAAGCAGTTCAAGTTGAAACAAAAGACATGACGTGGCTTGTCTTGTTTGATTTTCAGTGAAAGAGTAGAGTCCCTCCCTCCCCCCACTTATCTTAATGGTCGGATCACTACGACTATGGCTTGTTGAATCTCTGTGTACCTTTTGTTCCATTAAACTGCTTTATCAACCAAACAAAAACAGAACTGCTTTGTCGTTGGGTAAGCAGTGGTGTGTGCGTTTATGCGTGTGTGTGTTTAAGTGCTTGAGTGTGTGGCTCAAAGTTAATCTCGGTTCGCCGTGTGCTCCGCTCCTGCAGAAACCGTGCTCGACATGGTCGTCACCTGGAACACGCGCGACAACACCAACGAATCGCTTTGCGAGTTCGGCATCGAGGGACTTCAGCGGCTGGCCAAAGGCGCCGCACGGACCCACAGCCTTTGTGGATGGCGGACCCAAGAAGGCCACACAGTACATTCATCGCGTGAGTATCCAGCATGCGGCTCACACACACACAGACACACACACTAACCTGGTGACTAAATGCAGGTGACGCTGACGAAACTGGAGCCCAACAGCACGTACCGCTACCATTGCGGGAGCCAGCTGGGCTGGTCGGCCACCTACTGGTTCCGCACGCAGTTCGGCCACAGCGACTGGTCGCCCTCGCTGGCCATCTACGGGGACATGGGCGTGGTGAATGCCGCCTCATTGCCGGCCCTGCAGCGGGAGACGCAGCGTGGCCTGTACGACGCCATAATCCATGTGGGCGACTTTGCCTACGACATGAGCAACGAGAACGGGGAGGTGGGCGACGAGTTTATGCGCCAGGTGGAGACAGTGGCCGCATATGCCCCATACATGGTCTGTGTGGGCAATCACGAGGAGAAGTAGTAAGTGGATCCGAGACGCTCGGTCAGACCGGTGCAGACCGAGACCGATGCCGATACCGATACCGAGAGTGCAGATTAATCCCAATCCATCGCCGCAGCAACTTTTCGCACTACATCAATCGGTTCAGCATGCCGGGCGGATCGGAGAACATGTTCTACAGCTTCGACATGGGACCCGTGCACTTTATCGGCTTCAGCACGGAGTTTTACTACTTCACACAGTTCGGCCTCAAGCAGATCGTATTGCAGTACGACTGGCTGGAGCGGGACCTCATCGATGCGAATCGGCCGGAGAACCGCCAGAGGCGTCCCTGGATCATCACCTTCGGGCACCGTCCCATGTACTGCAGCAATGCGAACAGCGATGATTGCACCAACCACGAGACTGTCGTGCGGAAGGGTCTGCCCTTTCTGGAGATGTTCGGTCTGGAGCCGCTCTTCTACAAGTACGGCGTGGACGTGGAACTGTGGGCCCACGAGCACTGCTACGAGCGGATGTGGCCCATGTACAACTACACGGTGTACAATGGCTCGCTGGCCGAGCCGTATGTGAATCCCGGTGCACCCGTTCACATAATTACGGGAGCTGCCGGCAACCATGAGGGCCGTGAACCCTTTCTCGAACGCATGCCACCCTGGAGCGCCTTCCACAGCCAGGACTTTGGCTATCTGCGCCTGCAGGCCCACAATCGAACCCACCTGTACTTTGAGCAGGTCTCTGACGACAAGAAGGGCGAGGTCATCGATCACTTCTGGGTGGTCAAGGACAAGCAGGGCGCCTACAGGTCTGAGCTGTGATCTCTGATCTGTGTGCTTCCTGATCTCTGCCATGGCTGGAAACTTTGTGATAATCTCCCACAAATTTTGTAAAAAGTTATTTTAAAGGTTTCCCAACACGAGAAGTGTGTTTATTTTTTCAATTTTATAGCGACGAAATAGTTGTATTTGTATTTTTATTGTACTATATACCACAAAAGTATCCTGTTCAAGTCCTGCATAAGAGGATTTTTAACCCAACTATCACGTTCGATATACACACATATATCTGTATCTGTATCTGTATCTGTATCCGTATTCGTATTCCAATTCCCCTTTTTATATTATTTTTATGCGGCGTGCAAATAAATCGAATTTTTACCGGAATAGTGTTTGAATGAAAGATGGACCCGCAGTCCTGCCTGCTAATTGATCTGCAGAATGTATGGTAGCCATACATACATAACTCTGCTAAGATCTGTTTAGCCCCAGGAGCTGCTAGCTTTGTGCTCTTGCTTGTTTTTATTTAATTGTCCCAAGTAAAAGCACAACGTTGCCATTGTTATTGCCATTGCAGACAGCCTGAGGGAGATTACGGTGACCTGGTCGACGCGCGGCTCTCCCAACGCCTCGCTGGTGAACTACGCCCGTGGAGCTTACGCCAAGGACAAGCTGACCGTGGTGAAGGGCACCTGGCAGCGCTTCGTGGACGGCGGCCGAAAGGCTCGTCGGCAGTACGTGCACAATGTGATGCTGAGGGACCTGCAGCCGGACACGCGATACGAGTACAGCTGCGGCAGTGAGCTGGGCTGGTCACCAGTGTTCAGCTTTAAGACACCGCCGGCGGGCGAGAACTGGTCGCCCTCGCTGGCCATTTTCGGGGACATGGGCAACGAGAATGCCCAGTCGCTGGGTCGGCTGCAGCAGGACACGGAGCAGGGGATGTACGATGCCATCATCCATGTGGGTGACTTTGCCTACGACATGGACACGGACAATGCGGCCGTGGGCGATGCCTTCATGCGCCAGATCGAGACGGTGGCCGCCTACGTGCCCTACATGGTCTGTCCAGGCAACCACGAGGAGAAGTAGTGAGTGTACATTGCACATGCCGCCATATCGGAACCCCTCCTAATCGGCTTCGGTCTTTTGCTTGTCTTGCAGCAACTTCTCGAACTATCGGGCCCGCTTCAACATGCCCGGGGAGACGGACAGCCTGTGGTACAGCTTCGATCTGGGGCCCGTGCACTTTGTCTCCTTCTCGACGGAGGTCTACTACTTCCTCAACTACGGCGTCAAGCTGCTGACGAAGCAGTTCGAGTGGCTGGAACGCGACCTGGCCGAGGCCAATCTGCCGGAGAATCGAGCGAAGCGACCCTGGATCATTACGTACGGCCACCGTCCGATGTACTGCAGCGACGAAAAGGAATACGACTGCGACGGCAAGCTGGAGACGTACATCCGCCAGGGCCTGCCCCTAGTCAAGTGGTTCGGCCTCGAAGATCTCTTCTACAAGCACGGCGTCGACGTGGAGATCTTCGCTCACGAGCACTTCTACACGCGTCTCTGGCCCATCTACGACTTCAAGGTCTACAACGGGAGTGCCCAGCAGCCGTACACGAATGCCAAGGCACCCATTCAGATAATTACCGGCTCGGCGGGCTGCAAGGAGGCTCGCGAACCCTTCTCCAACGATCTGCCCGCATGGAATGCCTTCCACAGCAACGTAGGTTACCCATTCCCAGTACTACATATATAGTTCAGAGTCGTCTCACATTATGAAGGCGGCATGTTCTGCTGTGTTCTGGAGTGAATAATCACTGTGCTGGTGCTCTCTTTTTCAGGACTATGGCTATACCCGGCTTAAGGCGCACAATGGCACTCATCTGCACTTCGAGCAGGTGTCCGACGACAAGGACGGTGACATTGTGGACTCCTTCTGGGTGATCAAGGACAAGCACGGCTCCTATGGCTCGTCCCACTAACTGACATTAATTATGTGTACTCGTGGATTAATCTCTTGGGATATTCCAGGATACTCCTCATCGTGCTGCTACTTCTGTTTTTTTATGCATTTTTTTTTTAATACAAATTAAGTTAGAAAAAAAATTGAAGACAAAAAAAAAATAGAGATAAATTCCACTAAGCTTAGATGCTGAACGTTGGGCGTTGGGCGTTGGGCGTGGGCGTGGGCATGGGCGAGGATGAACGGATGGAGGTCGAGTGCCGGGGATGTAGCACAACACCACCCTAGTAGACGGTGCCCGAGATGCCCGCTCCGTAGTTGTAGCCGGAACCGATGGGCGGCACGCCACCACCGGCCAGGGCGCCCAGGCCGCCGCCCACGACGCTGTTGCCGTAGTTGCTTGTGTAGTAGCTGGAGGGATAGCCGCCGGCTCCGAAGCGCGTGTTGTAGTAGGGATATCCAGTGCCAGCGCCGAGGCCGCTGCCCAGGCGCCCATTGTAGTACGACGACAGGGCGTAGGGATTCGAGTTGTAGGATCCGTAGCCGCCGACACCGCCGACGCCGCCCAGGCCGGAGCCGAAACCAGCCAAGCTGGATCCGTAGCCGCCCAAGCTGGATCCGTAGCCGCCCAAAGCAGATCCATAGCCACCCAGGGCGGAGCCGTAGCCTCCGTATCCGCCAACTGCAGAGCCATCTGTGGGTGGGGAACAAACAAAAGGGATGCGAGTGATTACCAACTCCGGATCAGGTCGAGCCGAAGCTCCGAAGAGAGCTGCGAACTCCATGTGGCGCTCACCCTCACCTAGGCCTCCCAGCGACCGGGAGCTGTACGGATTGTAGTAGCTGTCCACGCCCAGTCCGGCGCCAACGCCAACGCCCACGCCGCTGCCATAGCCTGCTGCTCCGTAGCCCGCTCCCAGGGGGCTGCCGTAGCCACTGCCATAGCCAGAATATCCGCCGTAGCCACCGTAGCCACCGTAGCCACCAACATAGCGCTTTTCCTGCTTCTTCTCCTGCAGCGGGGCATAGCTGCTGGCCGCGCTCACCTGATCCTCGGCCAGAGGTGCATCTACAGCCAGCTCCACCGCCGCCGGGTCCTCGGCCCAGACTGAGCTCAGCATCAGGCTGGCAGCAACCAGAACGAACTGCAAAATCAATCAATCACGGGGTTAGATCCCATAGGTAATGTAATCCCAGCCAGCTTGCGTCCTGGCTTGAGTCTGCGCCGCCTTACAAAGCACTTCATGTTGGGGACGCCTGTGGGTGTGTGGTCTCTGGACTGCAACTGATTACTGGAACTGGCTACTGCGCACGCGCCACTTGACACTTGTCTAATGATCCGAATGCCGCCCCAGCACTCGCTTTTATACACAACGGAATGGGCCACAAGCGCAAGTGGCTCTCTCCCCATCTCTCTCTGTTGCCAGCTTACTTTTTGGTCAAGTGCTGGCTGAGAGCGTGAGAGAGAGAGAGCTGTGAAGTTGAAGCTGCACGAGTGCCTGCCCTGCCCTGCCCTGTGTGATCTATCTCTTCTGCTCAGCGGAATGACACGAGCCAAGCTCTGATCAAGCTCAAGCGAATGTCTTTCCTGGGCAGGGGGGTTTCTTATCTTGACTGGGATGTGTTGACTCCGACTCGGGGATAGTAGATCCTCATAGATGAGTGGATAACTAAGAAAATGGAGAACTGATGTTGGATACATGTATATTTCTAGGATTATGCATAGCACACATCTTGTATTGGGTAACATATAAAGCATCCTACTTGATTGGACTGCCCTTTTGGGTACTTTCTGCTGAATCCCCTGCTGGATTCCAACTGTCAAGCGAGAGTCTCCTCTCCCCAATGATAAATACTCATAAATTTAACCCATCGTAGAAGGAATACGTTAAGGTAAGCTGCAGGTCGACTTCTCAGTGTTTCTTTCCCCTCAACAATTGATCTACATATGATTGGGTGTGTTTGTGGTGTGGTGTACGGGTGACGGGGGAGGCCGGTACACCATCATTATCAATATTCCCACGATCTGGGTATCAATTATCCCCCACTTCAAACGGCAGGGGCCATAACAATGATGACAAATGCTAATTGAATCATTAACTTGACCCTGGGCCAACTAATTGCCCAACATAAAACACAAAATAGTCGCAGTCACAAACAAACCGCAACGAAATGAAATGATTCAGGCCAAAAGCAGCAATCGTAGTACCAAACTCTCGTACATAATACATATCTAGATCCAGTCCAGTGCAGTGCAGGCGATTTAGTTGGATAATATTGGGGCTGTCGTACTTCGTACGTGAGTCATTGAAAGTGTTTCAAATCAGTTCGCACCTGGGGGCTGGTTGGGGGGGGAGGGATGGTTGGGTTTTTCACTTTCCAGGTCTTTGCTAAGCCAACTAAAATCTCGGGTATTGGGTATCTTCTACCTACAAACTGCCTACCAGAAAAGAGAAACCCAAGCGGATCTCTGTTTTTTGGCAACAAAGGAGTTAATTGTCACCAACTATCGCCTCTATGTCCGAGGGCAGACAGAGGCAGAGGCCTGCCTGCGGGTAAGTGCCCCCTCTCATTTTCAGGTCTCCAAGGGTGACTCATTTTTAAAATGTAACGGTCTGGAATCATAAAAATAAATTGAAATAGAAATGGGGATGGGTTCGGGGATGGAAATGGGATAAATGCTTCTGACATGGCTAAAGAGAGACTGACAGACTAAAGACTTTTCACCACGGAGCCCATGAAGGCAAGACATTTTTGAACTTAATCTAAGTGGGCATAAATAATTCGTATAAATACGAAATAAACACTTCGGCCCTCGTAAAAAAAGAGAATTCCCGAGAGTTCCCGTACTAAATCAACAATTATTACGTGTGCATGTGGGGGCCCCCCCCCCCAACGTTTCTATGTACAGATGTATGCATATTTTCTTCTTAAAGGGTACCTTCGATTGTAGCAGCCAAAATAATAATCCCTTCCCCACTTTAGTTATAGATACAGATACAGAAACGTGTGTCAATAGCGATAGTCATCCATCCACAGATACGAGTACATGTCAGAGTCAGAGTTGTGGCTGTCGATCTCGATGGGGCTGCCGCTGCCTCTCCCCATATGAGTGGAACAACATTGTTCTTCATGCCGGGCATGTGAAAAGTGTGAACCAAGTAGCTGGCTGGGAGCCCCAACTCTCAGGCCCGGCGATGACTTGGCCACTTGGCCATGGCTATGGCTATGGCTATGGCTATGTGTGTACATGGGCCTGAGAGTGGCCTGAGAGTTTGTGGCTCCAACTCTGCGACTGCGACAGCGACAGCCACTGAGACAATGATTCTTTAATGCCGAGGCCTAAAAGCTTATTACACAGAGCCCCATCAGCCCCCAACACGGCAGAGCCAAGGCAGCATTTCACAGAAAGCATTCAGCGTATACGTAATGCTCATGGATATGGAGGAGCCTAGCAGCAGTGTAGAAGCTGGCACAGATGGGGGCGTTAGCATATGTTTCGATGTTCTAATTTACAAAACCAAATCACGATCAGCAGCAGCAACAGCAACAGCAGCAACAGCAATGTTGCATCATTGCACGCCCACCAATTATATTTACAAATAGATTTAATTATAATTAAACAACACAGAAAGTGCTCGCCAGACGAGAGGGGGCAAAACCGCAGGCCAAGTGCACCGACCGGGTGCCCGGGCAAATGAAGCAGCAAATTATGATTATGATGATGATGATCGTGGGGAGTGGGTTTAGGTTGGGCTGGGCTGGGCTGGGAGGCACTCGCACTTGTACTACAGAGTACAACAAATCTCGAGTCTCAAGGGGGAACAATGAATGCGACAACGACAACGACAACACAGCGAAACAAAAACAAAACAAAACCATGGCCTTTTCCGTTGAACTTGCACTTTGCATAATTGCATGCTACTGCCAAGACCATTGGCCAAGACCAAGAATACTTCACACGATTATCCATGTGCATCGTGCGAACCCCTGCACCGGCCCAAGACCACAACCAAGCCCAAGTCCAAGCCCAAAGATCCATCCCACGGCGCCCGCTTGTGGGGGCTGATATGAAGTCATTACAACAGAACCATGGAACATGGGCAAATCGGAACTGAAGATCCACAGGTCGAGTACAGCCTGAGAGTAAATTGAACGGGAACAATTTTGTTGCCTACATCAGAGAGCGCAAGAAACGACTAGACCAGTGCAAACATCATTTTGGTAATATGTAGACTGCTGCGTACCTCTGAGAGCCCGCCCGTAGTGGAGATCCTCTAAAAAGTTCCACTGCCGTAGTTCCATCACTGAATCAAAGCCGCAATAGATGTGATGTGACAAGGCAGTGAGTCACTCCATTCGTTGTCTAATGATAGAACGCCAAACAATGAGTAATTTAAGCCAGGCTGGGGCATAAATTGTTGGGAGTTGACCTGGCCGGACAATGCCTGGGGGCACTGGAACTCAGATGATGCTGATGCTGACGCTGATGCTAGGGACATAGATCAGAGGATAGATCACCACCCGCCCGCGAAATGAAAAGGGATTTTATTTGATTTGATTGCTGTAAAAAATATACGTACACACAAATATATATAGGACTGACTGTCTCTTCCGCTATATATATATGTATGCATTCGTGTATATATCAATTTTATTAAGTCTTCTTCAAAAGTTCTTTTGCCCAGAATCAGGTTCAGCTTCGGGCTTCCCTCACGACGGGGCCGGGCCACGGGCCACGGGCCACGGGCCACTCGCCCCATCTCTCTAACTATTTAGTGTGTGATTTGTTTGTCTCTCTAGATCTTTTCACTTCATTCATTCTTTGTTTCTTTTAGTTTAGTTTCGTTTCGTTTTGATTATTCTTTTTCTTTTTTGTACGTTTTTTTCTCATTTTTTCATGTTCGATTTGTACAGAGGTTTGTGCTGAAAGAAAGTTAATTTAGGGTTTCATATAGGTATTCGATATTAGTCCTTTGAGTAAAATTAATCTAAATAGTGCTCTGCCTTCGCTCGCGCTTCGGCTCCCGCTCTCGCCGCCGCCGTTCTCGATCTCGCTCCATAATATCCTTGCGTTCCGGTTCAGCTCTGCTGTAGGTGCAGTTGCAGGTGTGGTTGCGTTGCTTTGGTGTTGCTGGTGGTGGTGCGGAGCGGAGCGGACGAGCGGAGCACAGAAGAGAAAAAGATAGCGATAGACTGTTTGATGTGTGTGAATATGAGAGGGATGGCATGATGGATTAATCAATTAAGTTGGAATGGGGGGTACAGTTGCGTTTTCACTGGCATTCACTGACGAGTAAATTTTTGATTGACTGCGGAACTGGAACTAGAACTGGGCATGGGATGGGATGGGATGGGATGAGGTTATAACAATTATAAACATAATTAAGTTAACAAACTTCAACAAAAACAAAAAAATCATTTCAATAAAATTAACTAAACAACAAAAATCTCTATGTGTGTGTGTGTGTATGTATGTATGCATATAGTAGTAGATACGAGTATCTTAAAATTATAATAAATATACGATATACGATTGAGTTCGTGCAGACATCGGGGGGTATGTAAAGCGCGCACACTCACGCAAACTCACTAGACTACAGTAGAGTAGAGTAACATCGAGTTGTCTGTCTGCCTACATATGTATGTACATATGTATGTACGTTCTTAACTATACAAAATGTTGTATGCTGTATGGATTTAATGGATAGAGAGCTCTAATGTTATGAAGCTGGGTGAAATGTGTGTTGTGTGTGTGTATAGGTGCGGGTAGGCCCGCACTCCCCCCAAAAGGAATCTTACAAGTAAGTAAATACATAAGAGTCACACACGCAGACTGGTTGTGTCTGGACGGGTGATTAGAGTCATAGAGTGAACTTAGTATCTAGTTTCATAGATGATATATAGATGTGTACAAAACAATAAGTTATATCAGGTCATAAAAGGTGGATGGGCGGGAGGGTATAGAAACAAAACATAGTATATTGCGGGACTGTGTGTGTGTGTGTGTGTGTGTGTGTGTGTGTCTAAGGAATAGATAGTTAATGTCATATAGTAGTTGTAGTAGTAGTAGTAGAGTAGTAGTAGTTTATGCGTAATAATAAGAATAATATAAAAATAATCACAGACTCGGATTTGCTTGGATTGGATTGGAATCGTTACTTTTGCAATATTATGTACTAGTATGTATATTCTCCACTACGAGTGTGGGTTCGGTTTTCGGTTTTCTGTTTTCTGTTTTGTTCAGTTTGTTCAGTGTCTTTTTTTGTTTTTTGTTTGTTTGTTCTTATAAAGCTAGAATCACGTGGCGTGGAATAACTTAAGATGTTTTTTATACAGTTATGCGGCTGCATGTTTTTTACGTATGCATGTAATATAATTTGTTTTTTATTAATCCATATATTATATCATATTGTATAGCATTACGATTATTAGAGCTATTTATGTACGTATATACCTACGTATATACGATACCATACCATTTCATTTCATTTATATTTGCATGCCAATTTGTATTCTTGCATTGAATAATATTTTGCGTGCTTTCTTTGTGTACTTTCTTCTCCTATAGTTATATATATAGCATAGAGACAATATGCACATCCCTATGTCTACATATGTATGTATGTGTGTTATATGCGGATACATGTGGTCACATTAATAAAATTTCAAACAAAATATATCTCAAGGACAAGAAGTTACAATTATAAACCGAAGAACCTGCTTCTTCTGCCTACATTTTTCGCATTAGGATTCGCTTTGATTATAATTATATCGGCATTTTGTGTATTTTTTGTTACAGGCAGGCATACAGTATTTATTTATGCATATGTATGCATATTTGCTTTGCTTTTGATCTCTAGTTATCTTTTATCCATTTAGCTCGTTGCTTCAATACATTCTCTGACTCTTTTACACCGTTTCAATGGAGCTTATACTTAAGTTTCGAATAGGATTTTAATTTTTCTTGAATCCTTTCTAGATATACACACATTATCGCACATCTATCTATCAGCGGTGTCAATATATATGTGTGGTGTGTAGTGTAGTTTGTGTGTGTGTGTGTGTGTGTCGCTTTTATGTGGTAATAAGTTAACAAGAATCGTAAATGGGTTTTATGGCTTGTGTTCCTTGGATTGGTGACTGCTCTCTTCTCTCGCTCAAACGGATCTATTAAGATCTGTCAATATGTATGCACGTGTGTAGCATGATTTCAATTTGTCTATGCGATTATAAAGTGAATATGGAAATGGTGGCGGATGGATTGGTGTACTGTGTACTTTTATGTGTTGTCTCATTTATAACATTATATTTTTCAAGAGCTTTAGCATCGGGACTTGTTTAGTTGTAGGAAATCTAGAGTTAAGGCCTAATGTTCCACTTGTTGTGGGTATTTTTCTTCATACAGGTTTCTGGTTTCAACTTATTTGCTAATGGGCTTGAGGTCTACAATTAACATTGATCAAAACACAAGCGAAACAAAATACAAAACATACAAAAAAAAAATATTTAAAAAAATTACACAAATATGTATGTAGTTAAATATCGCTTGCTGATAAAACAGTCTGGATTCCATTTCATTTCATTTTCAATAATTAATTCGAAGAGGCGGTAGGTAAGGTAAGAGGGTAAGAGTCATTACATCTGATTGAAGCAATTCGTTAAGTGAGCTTAATGTAGTTAAGAAACGAGACACTCATTCACAACTAAAATTGAATTACGCTATATATCCTTTATGATATATGTATATGTATGTATGTAGATAGTACATGTATATATGTATAAATATTTAGATTTAAATTTAAATTTATATGGGGTTGTTTGCATTCCACTAAATTTATATATCTGTCTGTCTTGTAGGGTTGGTTGGTTTCTGTTTTTCCCACTTCATCGTTTCTATTTGCTGATGTTGTTCAGGTCAAGCTTAAAGCATATCCCACACACTTAACTCTAAATTTAAATACAATTGTTGTTTGTTTGTTGTTGTTGTTGTTGTTGTTGTTAAGAAAACGAAGCACGTTTTAGTCATAGTTATACGATCTTTACACTTACAAGCTAACTCAATATCTCTATATATCTATGTAAATAGATACAATTAAGATTTGCATTATATTATTATGTATTATATATTCTATATGTTGTATGCGCAAATATATGTTTTTATACGGTAAACGTATACACGCACAAGGGGCTTACGCTTACTAATAACATCTACAGATCAACAATTTTAAGAACTTATCAATTTTAGAACTTACGATTCTACTGCCAATCAAATCTGCAACATTTATCGGCCAGAATAGAATTTTATAGAGAAAAATAAAACCATATATGTATCGGTTACAGTTTGCATTTTGGAGCTTAATTTTAGTTTTGCTGCCTCAATCGTTCTTCTGTTTCTCCAACTTTATCTTCTTCCCCTTCTCCTTCTCCATCTCCATTCCTCAATCATGCTTGAGTACAATGCGGGCCGGCCCTCGGCCACGCTGCTTGTGACCGCCCCCACTGCCGCTTCCTCCAGAGGATGCTGCTGCCTTCCGCTTCTCCAGTCGCTCAAAGATACCTCCGCCGCCTCCTGAGCTGCTGCCTCCCGCGTTACTCCCTTTCCTCTGCAGTAAATGGTCATCCCCACGCTGTCGCCTATCCCGCTGCCTGCCATGAGAGGACTGCTGCTGCTGCTGATCTCCTCCGCTCCCATTGCTGGTGGGCTTCAACACCACCCGCCTATTTGAGGAGCCAAAGCTGCCCGTTGACGACGAGTTGGTCCCACGAGCGGCTTTCTGAGTGCGCTTCACTACCAACATATCGGGCGTGGCCGAGCGCTTGCTGTTTGCCCTCTGCTGATGCTGATGCTGATGTTGATGCTGACTCTGGCTCTGATGCTGGGGTGGTGGTGGCGAGGGTGTGGCCAATAGGCGATCCTCCTCGTCCAGCATCAGTTCATCATCATCGTAGTCAAGCTCAACCTCATCGTCGCTGGGCGTGCCCAGACGCAGCGTATCGCGGGGCTTGCACGTAGTGGGTGGAGTTGCACCCCCAGTGCTGGCTGCGCCTCCACTCGATCTTGCTAGGGCGGCGGCCGCAGCTGATCCGTGCTGCGGCTTAGGGGTGGGCGCCAGATGCTCGGTTATACTTCGTTTAGCCTCCGGCGCTATCTTGGCCGCCGTCAGTTGCTTACGAGCGGGCGCCATCGATGACGTTTGCTGCTGTCTGCTGCTGCGCCCGCCGTTGCCGTTGCCACTGCCATTGCCATTGCCCCCTGCCTGGTCCTGGTCTTCGCGACGCTTCAGCGAGATTACCTTGCGCTCGTGGCTGCTGGCTGCCGGACGTTGCTTTTGTGGTGTGCTTAGTCCCGCACTAGCTGCCTCCTTCTCGTTACGGCCTGGCGAAATGTGCTGTTCGGCGCGCTTCTCCTAGAAAGTTATTTGGGTTTCTAGTTGGTGCTTTGCGTATCTCTTCATATATGTAATTCATTCGCCCTGACTGGACTGGGCTGGGCTGACTCCCAATATGCAATCGAGACTCGACTTACGACTAAGATGGTGGCACTTACCTCATGTAGCTTCTCCTCGGCCGCGCGCCTACGCTTCAGCTCCTTGTCGCGCAGTATCTTTTCGCGCAGCTGCTTCTGCTTCTCAATCTCCAGGCGATAGATGCGAGTCTCCTCATCCTCGTCGCTGGCCTGCAAAACGGAACGGAGCCAAGGTTAGCGGCGTCAAGCCAAGAGGTTTTCCCTTCACTGGTTCTTACCTTTCCACTGGCAGCGGTGCGACCACCGCCAACGTCCGAGGGTCGTCCGCGTGGCTCACCCGAGAAGGGGTTGCGAATCACAGCGCCGTTTGAGCCGCTGCGACGTCTCTTGCTGGGCACAACAGGACATCCGCCTCCGCCGCCCCCTCCACCGGCACTGGGTACTGGGGCACTTACTGGTGCGCCGCCTGCTCCACTGCGATTCTCATCTCGATCACGGCTAGCAACACGTCGGAATCCACGATTTGCGACTGGCCGATTCGTCGTTCCATACCGCTGTTCGCGTTCGCGCTCTCGTTCCCGGTCACGCTCTCGCTCGCGCTCCCGTTCCCGCTCCCTTTCGCGATCCCTTTCGGCACGCTTGGCGGGCGAATAGCTGCGACCACGGGAACGGCTGCGGCTACGACTGCGTCGCCTCTCCCCAGCCTGAACCGACGAAGAGGCTGCCCCAGAGCTCGAGCTGGAGCCAGCCGGTGGCGGCGAGCGCTCCATGCGCCGCTTCTCAAAGTACTGACGATTCTTATTGATGAACTCCTCCTGCTGGCGCAGCAGCTCCTCGTCACTGTTGATGGCCGGCATGAAGTGTGTCTCCTTGATGAACTTGTTTGTGGCTGCCTCAACGCCGCCCTTGAAATTCGGATTGATGAGCACCTTGCTGACCCGCGGTATAGCCGCTGGACCACCACCCTGTTGGGGCGGTGGACCGTTCGGTTGTGGCTGCTGCTGCTGCTGTTGAGTAGGATTAGGCGGCTGCTGCTGTTGTTGCTGCTGTGGTGCACGCACCGGCTGAGGCGGTGGCGGCTGCTGCTGGACCTGCTGCTGTTGCTGTGGTGGCGGGCCGCGCATTCCCACCATCCCATTGGGATAGTTGGGCGGCGCTCCTGGCATCATGTGTGGCGGCAGTGCCTGCAGGGGTGGACGCGGCATGCGTGCGCCGTCCCCCTGCGGCCTCCAGCCATTGTGCGGCCTCATGAACTGTGGCGGATGCACTGGCGGCGGATGGCCGTGATCGCCATAGCCGCCATAGCCAGATGGCGGCGGGCCAGCATTGCGATACAGTGGCGGACGCATTCCAGTTGGCTGCAGGAGTGGCGGACCCGGTCCCAGCAGCGCCCCATTCCGATAGCCGCCTGGTTGGGGGGCATACGCCATCGGTGGCTGCAATAGACCGACGCGCACTTGCTCATGCGGATGCGGCAGCAGATGCGGTGGTATCCCTCCATTCGGATTGTGATTGTGGTGCATCATGTGCGAGGGATTCAGCAGGGGCGAGGCAGGAGCATTATGTTGTTGTTGTTGTTGCTGTTGTTGGTTCGGTGCTTGTTGTGACTGGTTGGGTGGCTGGTTAGGCGGATATTGACCTGAAATTGGAAAGAATGTTTGAGCAGGAAGCTTGTCAAGTGTTTGTTCTCGCTGATGGATGGATGGATGAAGGATGTGGCAGAAGTCTTACCTGGCATGCCATATCGTTGCTGTGGTGGCGGCATCCCAGACATACCCATGCGCTGCTGCTGCTGCTGCTGTTGCATTGTCCCGAACATGGGCGTGGGATTGCGCAGCAGGTGATGACGCGCACCGCCCATTCCACGCAGCGGTTTGCCCATTTGATTCTGCTGCTGCTGTTGTTGCTGCTGCTGCTGGCCGTGCATGAATCGTCCACCGCCTCCCACTCGTGACTTGTCTGTGGGATGAAATCGATTTATTTTGTGGACATCAGACACTTCCTTAGGGGCTGGACACTTACCTGAATGGTTTTGGTGTCGCCGCTGAATTTGCTGATGCTGCTGAAATGGCGACATCGAGTGGGAGTGCTCCTGATGCTGCCTGTGGCTGCTTTCGACCCGCTCGCTGCCAGTCTTGTAGTTGGTGCGCTCCTCGCGCTCCTCCTCGTCCTCACGCAGATCGGCCAGCTCGGAGGCCGAGCTGCCACTGGGCAGGCTCTCCTGGGATGAGGCCAGCAATGAGGGTCCCAGTCCCAGTCCGGGCTCACTCTCACTGTCAGCCTCGCTCTGCTTGGCTGTGGAATCCCCAGCATCTCTGGATGATGTCTCTTTGGTGCTGATGCTAGTGGTGCTTGTGCTGGCCTTGGCACTGGCTTTGCCACTGCCACTTGGCTGAGTCGGTGGCGTGGCTTCCTTCTTCGACTGTGGCTGCACTTGTTCTGCGCTTTTCATTGTGGCCGTCGCTTCTGTTGCTCTCTCCACAGCCACTGCTGGCGGGGGAGAGACTGCCGTCACCACCGCGACCACTGTGGCGTCTGTCTGGACGCTTGGGGTAGATGCCACCGCGGTAGTTGGACTTTTAGTCGATGTGGCTGCCACAGTGGAGGGTGCAATTTCCGAACTAGATGCTGCTGCTGCTGCTGTAGCCGCAACTGGTTCTGATGTTGCTGCCTCAACTAAAGCGGCGGACTGTGCTTTTTGTTTGCGCTCATGCTGACGCAGTTGCTCCTGGGCCCATTCCTCGGCCTCGGCGCGCATTTGTTGCTTCACCTCGCTGGTGACATCTTTTTCCAGCTCTGCAAGGATATTCGATTCGATTGGATTACTTGTCCCCATTACAGAGCTGCTGGATAGGATAGCAGCAACGAGACGGGACGCCACCACTTACCTTCATCCGAAAGGAGCAGCTCATCCTCATCGGCGCCGAGCAGGGCCTGATCATCGATGTCGTCGCCCAGCTCGTAGTTAAGCAAATCATCGCTGCAATTTCCAAAATAAATTACAAATAAAAATAATCTTCCAGGAGTGACCCCAGCCCCCCGCAGACACCCACACACACAGGCACACACCCACACAGGCACACACTCACACATGCGCTTATAGATGTTAACGAAAAATCCCGTTTAATATATTTTGTTACTCTGATCAATACAAAAACAAACAAATAACAAAACTTATTGGTTTTGTTGGGATGACGGACATGACCCTTCCACTCGCTCCTGCACCCACACACGCACCACTGAACGGACACACACACTCGCAAAAACACCTTGAATGTGTTATACATAGAGGAAAGGTGGGTGCCCTCCCACCCTCCTTCAGACCCATCAGACCCACCATCCACACATCACACACGATAACCTAGCTGGGCACTTTTCTTTTATACTGAGATATGGTGCAACTGGCGGCTCCTTTTCACACTTTGAATTTTCCTCTTCGGCTACTTACTTAATGTCCGACATTTTGAAGGCGGGCGGCCAGGGCCAGGGCAGCTGTTGACACTCGGCGGCGTGTCTGTGTATGCGTGTGTTATTTAGAGAAGTAGAACAACGATTGCCCACCACTTTGTGTGCTACCCGATTATACCATATTGAAAATTTTGTCACTGCATTTTTTATCACTCCATTGAGACATGCACGCGAGTTTGCAAACACAAAAAACTTCCACGAAAATGTATTCTTTTTTTTTTTCACACAGGCAAGCAAAATTTGCTGTCAATTTATAGAGGGATGCAATCCGGGTCGGTGTGACTGTGTCTCTTCAGTCCAAAAACATTAACGCGCTAGAAGTGTTGTGATGTTTTCAGTATTTTTGCAGTGTGGGCATCAAAATGGCCAGGTCTGGCAACCATTTTTCTTATTCGAAATTTCAACGGCATTTATTAGTTATCTTTTCTTTTTTGCTTGGCCTGATGCACTCTAGTACAGCTAGTAATGTATAACCATAAGTACGTGTGTAAGTAAACTGTGCCAGTCCGGCTTTGTAATAGGTTCGTCTGCATCTTTGTCTTTGTATTGCCATCTCATGAGTGGCAGCACGCAGTGCTGGTCACACTCTTTCGGTATTTGCCATTCACCATAAATGGCTAATACTTAAATGAGTTGGCAGCACTGCGGCCGCCGCCATTTCATTTTGAATTTACCGAAATTTCGTCAGGCGTCATTCGCTTCTGTGCTGTGGCATTTTGCTTTGAGTAAATACATTTCACGTCCTAAATTATCTGTACAGCTCGGCAAACATTGGAGAAACTTCGTTGCAATAACCGCATCAATAAGAACTACTCCTGTTGTGCGCTGTGAGGCATGAGGCATATCAGGCGGCACACAAAATTATCATTGTGCAATTTGTGCAAACACAAAAAAAAAGGCGTCACGTCACTCATCTGAGCGGAGGACATTGCCTTGAGGCCAACACACTGTGCAATCACGAGATCGTTTGCGCATCAATTTCATTCGATACCCGAAGACAAGAAGTATTCCAATCAGCCATGGTGGAGCCAACCGCCATAAAGGCAGAGATCCTTGAGATGACCGGCGAGCATGTGGAGCAGCTCCATTCAATGTGGTCCTTCATGTTCGAGCCGAAGACATGCGTGGACTTTCTACACAAACTTAAGGCGCACGTGGACAACTTCTATGCGGATCTACTGACCGAGTCGCGGGAGAAGCAGGCGGCCATCCTCCATGACATTTCCGCACTCCGAGCCGAAGCCAGCGACCTCAGCCGACTGCTGCACGAGACGGTGGACATTGGCCAGCGGCCCGACGATATGCCGCTGATCATATGGCAGCTGAACCTGGACAAGAGCATTGAGCATCTGCGCGAGGAGCTCTCGAGACGCCGGTCGGAGATTGCAGAGCTGCTGCTGCAGCAGGAGCAGCTGTGCGAGGAGCTGGGCGCCTTGCCGCGCCCCCTACTGGCGGACCCGCTGCCCCTGCCCAAGGAAATGGACGGCTTTCGCGACCATCTGGACAATCTCCGTTCGCAGCGCGTTGTACGCCAGAAGGAGCTGGACCAGCTGCGCCAGGCCATCAAGCAGGACATGAAGATGCTGGAGCTGATGCCCCAGACCGATGCAGAGGATCGCCTGCTGAACGATCTGAACCACAATCTAACGCTGGAGACGTTAGAGCGGCTGCGCCAGTTGCGCAACTCCTTTGCTGAGCAGATCCAGGAGCTGTGCTCCAAAATCCATGACATGCGCGAGAAAATCCACGTTCTGTGGGATCGCCTCCAGGAGACGGACGAGAACGTCATGCGACGGGTGCGCGAGACCACCGAGAACACGCAGCGCACCTACGACATCCTCCACACGGAGCTGCAGCGGTGCCAGGCGCTGCGCAGCCAGAACCTCAAGACGTTCATCGAGCAGCTGCGCGTCGAGATAAGCAAATGGTGGGACCTAACGCTCAAGAGCCAGCAGGAGCGCAAGCGTTTCTCCAACTACTACAACAAGTACTACAATGAAGACCTGTTGGAGCTGCACGAACTGGAGCTAGACGACCTGAAGAGCTACTACAAGTGCAACAGGGAGATCTTCGATCTGTACGAGAGCCGCGCGGAGCTCTGGTCGCGTATGCAGGCCCTGGAGGCAAAGGCCAATGAGCCGAATCGCTTCAACAATCGCGGCGGCCAGCTGCTCAAGGAGGAGAAGGAGCGCAAGGCCATCAGCTCGAAGCTGCCCAAGATCGAGCAGCAGATCACCGAATTGGTGCAGGCCTATGAGGTGCAATCGCATGGCCCGTTCCTGGTGTACGGCGAGAACATACTGGAGCTGATGGCCGGCGAATGGGAGCGATATCGCCAGGCCAAGCTGATGGGCTCGACTCGCAAGAAGGCCCCGACCGGCACAGCAACGGGCAGCAGCAACAAACTGATGATGCCGCCGCCGGCTGCCGGTTCAGCGGCACCACGCACGCCCCGAACCTTGAGGAACATGTCCTCAATGTCGACATCGACAATGTCGCTGCGCAAGACTCCGACAATCCTATTGACCACGCCCAATATGACCAAGAGCACTGGGAATCTGCACAAGCGTCTAAATCCATCCACGGCCGCCAGCTCTTCGGGGTATCGCACCCCCAACGCCAGGCGCAGCCTGATGTCCTCGCTGAACTCGATTCGCCCGTCGCCGGCTGCCGCACAGCGGCTGGCCAACAGTCATATGAAGGTGTCCAAGTCGCCGCTAAAGCGGGTCCGTGTCCTGGACAACACATTGCGTCGCAGCGGTGGACTGGGCAGGCGCAGCGTTGGCACACGCTCGAACAAGAAGCCACGCACCAAGTCAACGGTGCCGTACACACCATCGCCCAGCGATGCCGAGTACATGACCGATGAAACGACCGAAAACGAGCCCGAAACCGGCATCTCCTATCACGAGTTTGTGCCCACGAGTCGCTCCTCAGTGCTGCCCGTCGGTGGGGCTTACCGTCAGCGCAATCATTTGGCTGTGCCACGTAGTCGCCATGTCCTCACGAACAACAATTCGGTGGCCACTACACCGTCGAAGCAGGCAGCCAAGCAGGAGGGGAAGCCTCGCATTGGCATTCAATTGAATCTGCCGTCGCCCCGTCAGAGCCGCATGTGGCCGACTCCACGATGAGATTATCCGTTGAATTAATTCTCGCCACTCCTAATATAGCTTAGCCTTAACAGGAACCCCACTTAATGCGGACATGTACCTTTTTTTATAATCTGATTTTCGAATTTCTATTTTATGTTTGATTTGATTTGATTTAATTTTTTGCATCTTTATCTTTATATGTTTTCCGTTTCATTTATTTTCAATGTTGGCCGAATAAAAATTATCTACAAGAAGAACCAACCGAGCGACTGTCTGCATATTCGAATAATCCTGGATATATAGGAATACTCCTTGTTGGGTTTGCATGCTATATGCACAGATGTTCCTTGCTTTTACCGCACTAATTTGAGTACAATTAAATGGAAACAATATAGGCCGCCCGCATGCAAAACACAAATTTATGTATGATTTTGTCAGCCTGCTAATTATGGACCAAGATAATAGTATTAATAATATGGAATTAATGATAAATACAGGAGAGGAATTTAGAGGGATAATTTCATTCCATACTATTGATATCTTGGTTCACAATGGTTAATTAATGGGCTCCAACATTCTTTTGTGTGCTTGCAGTTGTGGCTGTGATTGTTCCACTTGCCATAGAAATGCCAACCCAAATATAAATGAATTAGGCATTTATAAAATACATCCATTTACTGTGTGGCGTGGTGGGATGGGAATGGTGATGGGGTGGGATGCGGGGTGGTGCGTTGTGCTACATTTCATGTGATGTAAATTGGGATCTTACACTAATTGTTCTTATCACATAAAATTCTAAGACAAGAGAAGGGAAATTGGCCTGCTAGTCCTTTCCAGCATGCTGTAGTCGTCTCCATGAAATACTGCTGCCTGCTTCTATATACAACGGAGTGGGGGGTGGGGGGAGGGAATATAAGATTGCACTGGAATAATAGTTGGATAATAGTTTGTGTCTGCTGGTGGATTGATGCCAGTGGCTCAGTGGCTGTGGGAGTAGCAGCTGCAGCAACAGCAGCAGCTATTTGCCAGTCTCACTGCCGCTCTGACTGTGCTGGCTGCCACCAGCATGATTGTACATTAGATGCGCTGCAGCAGAGAGGAAGAAAAATAAATATTTGCAAGCCCTTGGAACACTTTTGGCTGGCTTACCCATAACGACGGGTGGAAAATTGAAGGCCCCAAAGGGTGCTGCATTCCCAGGTGCTGGCGGTGCCGGGGCCGGTGCATAGGCGGCACCATCTAGAGTGGTCACCGCCGACGTTGCTGTTGTTGTGGGCACAGCCCCTGTGGTCACGGGCGAGGCATTGTACGCCGAGGCGGCCTCTGGCGACGAATGCGAATGATGATGAATGATGTTGGCGGACGAGCTCTCGATCCCCGTGCCCATTGCAGCCACCGGCGCACCCATTTGTTGCTCCATCTGGCTGGGATGATCCGGCCCCCCCGACGACGACGACTGATAGCGAACGGGAGGCATCACGACAGTGGTCAGGTGGGATTGAGTGCCATCCTCGAGGAGGCCTGTACGCTGCAGGCGACCCGTCTTCGTCTCAATATGCTTGTTGTGGGCGCTCAGGCAGTGGTTGCGCATGTTGTACAGCTGCAGAAAGTAGGCATCGCAGTGCGGACACTTGTACCGCTCGCCCGTATGCCGCCGGATGTGGGCCTTGAGGTCGTTGCTTTGGGTGAAGCTCTTCGGGCACTGGTCGCACTTGTACGGCCGCTCGCCCGTGTGGGTGCGCATGTGGATCGTTAGGTTGTAGGCCCGATGGAAGCTCTTGCCGCACGTGTTGCACAGATTGGGCTTGGTGCCCGTGTGATACCTGAAAGAGAAACGGAACGAAACGAAACGGAACAGATGGACGAAAGGATCGTTGGGAGTGACGGTGAACCTACCGCTCGTGAACTTTGAGATCGGTGGCCCGGGGAAAGGCCTTCACACAGTAGCGGCACTTGTACGGCTTCTCGCCATTATGCCGCCGCATGTGCACACGCAGATAGTCGTTGCGGGCAAAGCTGTCGCCGCAGATGCAGCACAGAAAATTGCGCTGCCCGGTGTGGCTCTTTTCGTGCTCGCGCAGCTGCTGGCGCTCCTTGAAGGTCTCCTCGCAGCTCTTGCAGGCGTACAGAAAGTCGGTGTGGAGCAGCGTGTGCTTGCGCAAATACGTTTTGCTGGAGAAACGCTTCGAACAGTACTCACAGGTGTGCTCCGCCAGCTGGAGTTTCAGTTCGTTGCCCGCCTCCAGGCCCTCACCGTTGTGCTTGCTCACCTTGTGCCGCTCGAGGGCCTCGGGACGGGCAAAGGCGGCCTCGCACAGCGTACACTTGTGCTCTTTGTTGCTGTGCAGGCTCTGGACATGGGCCTTGAGGTGGTCGCTGCGTGCAAATGCCTTGGGGCACTGCGGGCAGCTGTGCGGCTTCTTCTCCAGGTGGGAGAGCTTGTGCCGCAGCAGGTGGCAGTGGCGGGAGAATGTCCGCTGGCATACATCGCAGCGATTCTCCGGATTGGCCTCGCCGCTCTGTTTGTTGCGACGCCGTCGCTTCAGGGGCTTGCTTTTCCTCAGATAATCTCTCACGATCTCCAATTTGGATTTGTCCATGTCTCCGGGGGGGGCATCATCCTCCTCTGCATCTCCATCTCCATCATCATCATCGTGCTCCTCGTCATCCAAGTCGCTCTCCTCATCCTCATCCTCATCCCCATACTCGTACTCCTCCTCCTCCTCCGCATCATCACTGAGGGGCAGCTCCACCTGCCCGCCAGGCCGGCTGGAACCTTCTATGAAGTCATCTTCATCACGACCTTGATCCTCATCCACGCTGCCAGCTGCCGTCTGGCTTTCCTCTTTGATGTGCAGCGTCGGCTGGGCGGCGGCGGCGGTGTCTGTGCTGGGCAAAGGCTCATCTGGAACACAAAAAGGTTCATTAAATGTGAGGCTGCAGGAATGGGTTCACTGCGACTCACCCTTGACAGCGGCGGCATCGGTGGAGGTCTGCCGCTCCTCGGTTTCAGTCTTCTCTTTCCGCCGGCGCAGCTTCTTCTCGAGCTGCAGATCGAGATCCTCGGCTTCTAGGCAGGGCTCCGGTTTGATGTGCAGCCACAGCTCCTTCTTGGCCTCCTCGTCATTGACCTCGTCCTCCTCCTCGTTGCTGGATATGGGATTGATATTGCACTGGTAGGCATTGCCCTCGTCATTCTCGTCCTCGTTCAGCAATACCTCGGCCGAAACGAGCTCATCCCCGGGAGAGCTCTGCATTGTTGCCTCGTCCTCCAGCGGCCTGGCGCTGTCTGCCTCCTTTTTGTGTATGTTGCGTATGTGACGAAGCATATGGTCCCGCCGGGTGAAGGCTGACTGGCAGTGGGGACACTGGAGGCGCTCCGTTTGGTTATGACTCCGAGCCAGATGCGTGCGAAGCTGGCGCAGATGCGGGAAATGCTGCGGACAGAACTTACACTTGAGCTGCTGGACCACCGCACCTTCACTGGCACCAGCACTATTGCTGGTGCTGGTGCCAGTGCCGCTGTCCCTGGTTTTGTGCACCCTATTCCGATGTAGTCTCAGCTCCAGGCTGTTCAAAAACTGGTCATGGCACATCTCGCAGGGCAGAAGGGCCACCTGTTCTGTTTGGGTGCACACGTCGCTGCTGCTGCTGCTGTTGAGCGGGCGTCCGAGCAGCGCCATCAGGGAGCAATAGGACTTTTCCGCATCCCGCTTGAAACGGAAGGCGTGGCGGGCCGCCTTGATGCACAGCTCGCACATTTTAAGCGGCATCTTGTCGTCGAATCGGTCGCAGGTGTAGCGCGTGCACTCGTTCAGTATCTGGGCGAGATTGGCTCCCTGCTCCACAGGCGCCTCGTCGTAGATGAAGTGCATCTCTTCGCCCACCGTTACACTGCGCAGGCAAATGCGGCAGACAATCTCAGCATCGAAATCGAAGCTGCCGCCCGCCGGCACTGGTTGGGCGGACGCGGAGGCGGCCATTGCAGTTGTTTAGGTGTGGATTTTGATTGTTATTGCATACATTTACAAATTATTGCCGCTGCTACTGCATTTGCTTTAGAGGTGGAGAAACATCGATGGAAATATCGATGCATCGATGTTTTTAAAATTTTTGCAAACTTCTATGTTCGATGTTTTAGTTCGCAGAAGGTATGTTTGTTAAAAATATATTTATAGTTTGAACATTGCATATTAATAATAAATAATTAATAACTGAAGTGAATGAGTGGGAGCAAAAAAGAATCGCCTTCGAAGCAAATTGAAAGACACATCGATATCCCTATACTAAAAATATCGCATTCGAACCGAAGGCGCCACGCTCAAGCCATTTAAATTACACATTTAAAATAATAGAAACCATTATTTATTATATACAAAAGCCGCTTGCTCCTGGAAATTCTACAAGTCACTTAATTTGTGATCCAGCTCCCGCATCCACAATCAAGGTCAGCTGGCCTTGCGTGGGATCCACCCATGCAGCGGGAAACTGTTTATCCTGCTCCAGGAACACACGCTGCAATATAAATTCCATTAATTAGTAAATGCAGCAAATCATATTGAGCACCTCCCACTGCTCCCACCTTTACAACATCCGATTTGCTGGCGCCGGTCACCACAAATGCAACATCCCTGGCATTGTTGATCAGCGGCAGAGTAAAGGTGATGCGCTCGGGCGGCGGCTTTGGAGAATTTCGTATGGGAATCACCAGGCGAGAGGTCTCCTTCAGTGTGGCTGGCTGCTCAGGGAACAAGGAGCAGGTGTGGCCATCCGGTCCCATGCCCAGCAGCAACAAATCGAATTGTGGCAGACTGGCACTGTTGCCCAGTTTGACCTTCACTCTCGCCTCGTAATCGGCGGCACATGCATCCAACGGCTTGGTGGTGTCCGCCTTGACAAACTGAGAGTCCAGAATGGCTGGCAGCTGGTCCAGCCACTCGGTTCTATAGGCGTGATAGGTGGAGTCGCTGTGATTATCAGCCACATAGCGTTCATCGCAGAAGAAGAACTCCCAGTTGGTGGTGTCCAGTGCACTTCTCTTTAGGGCTTTTGTCAGCAGCTGCACAAGAGAGCCACCTGTCCACGGAGGAACAAACGGCATTTGTGAATGGAAAATTATACACTAACAAGGTCACCTTAAGTTGAGCTTATCAACACCACACACACACACATGCACGCAAACGGATCGATCCGATCCTCACCTGAGAGGCCAATGCTGAAAGTGGGAAGTGGCGAGAGCTGGGTCGCCTTCTCTGAGCACTGCTTCAGCAGATTGCTCAGACTTTCAATCAAATTATCCTCGGACTCGGCCAAGCTTATTTTGAAGGAACATTTGCGGTCGGGCATATTGAAAATTATATTAACACCTTGGACTCGATTCGACTCGACGCGACTTCTTTTCTGTTTAATATATCGATTGGGATTGTTGATATTATATCGATATATACAGAAATATATACAGAAATATCAACAATCCATTTATACGATATATAGGACAGGCCAGGGAAACTTTGTTACTCAACTCGATATCTATCGCCAGCAGCAGTGTCAGATTTTGCGAAATGTATTGATATGTGCACATCCTTAAATAATTTCATTAAATTGCGTTTCATTTTTTTTTGTGTGTGAATGCCGTCTAAAATATTTTCTTTATCCAAAATATAATCATTTTAAGTGCGATTTAGGCATCAAATCAAACAGTGGATAGCACGTAGCATAATTACAAACGCAACGCGTTGTGCTAGCAGTTTAGAGCGCGCATTGTTTTTTCTGGCATTTGGCGAGGCAAAAAAAAAAAAAGAAAAGGACGGCAGAAAAGCAGAATCCCAGCAACAACAACAACAACACAGCTGCTGGCGGTGCACGAAACGAAACCAACGTGCGCGCGTTCTCTGAAATAAAATATTTACTTTTTCTGTGAGAAACAACAAAAACAATGCCTAAACGCGGCGGCGGTGTTGGCGGCGGTGGCGGCAGCCAGCGTTACAATAATAACAATGTTGGCAATGGCGGCGGTGGCGGCGGCTCACGTTACTCTGCCCTTAAAGATTTTGATGGTGAGTGGCCCGCAACATTTTATGAATTATATGCGATGCACCAATGCAACAATATTGATAAATTGTACAATTTAGCCGATGGCGATGATCTGCAACGTCGCAAGGACCGCAACAAGAGACGTGTCAGCTTCAAGCCTCCACAATTTCCACACAAAAAGGATGTCAAACTGCGTATGGAGGATTTGCGTCGTTGGGATGAAGATGATGATATGAACGAAATGACAACAGCAGCCAAAGTAAGACCAAAACGCATTCCCCCGCCTCCACCCACCGACTCACATTGAATGTTGCATCTCTCTTTCTCTCTCTCTCTCTCTGTGTGGTAGGATCGTAGTGCATTGCGCCGTCGTGGCTCGCCGATTCCACGGGGAAAATTTGGCAAACTGATGCCCAACACCTTCGGGTGGTATCAAGTCACGGTAAGTCATAGCAACAAGCCAAAAGCCACAAGCCATAAAGCAAGTGGTAATCCATTGTGCGAGAACCACAACACCATATAGATATCCGCAGTGTACCATATATCCTATATACCTATCATATACCATGTATCATCGTCTGTGGGCAATTTAGAACTAGCAATTTTTCAACATATACAGATTTATGGTGTAAAACGTAATCGGCGGGAAACTATTTCGGATCCTTTATAGCAGGCTGCTTGGTGCTTGTTGCTTGCTGCTTATCGCAGGCACACATGTGACCGAGCGGTGTCTGCTCTCGAATAGATTCCCGAATTTAGCAACATCCGTCAGAAACTTGTGGACTGTGTGGGACCACAGTGTCCCCCAGTCCCAGCCCCAGTCCCAGTCTGTGCTCAGTTGTGTTTATTAATTAATTTTAATCGTAAAAATCGTAAAGTAAACAACAAAATCCCAATAACAGACGCAGACACACAGCCATAGACACACGTGGTGTGGGAGGAGAGGGAACGGGAACAACAATTACAATTGCAAGCAAGCAAATAAATATTTATGGTCGAGTCGGGTCTGGGGCCGGAGCCGACAGTGCCTGCCACTAGTAGATGGTCGGTACCCCCCAGCATTGATAGCGCATGGTTAGCAGATTCTTCTGAAATATACACATGTGCATATATGCATATAGCCTGCCTGGCCTGGCCTATCTGTGGATGCTTTAGCTGCTTAGCTGTTTAGGTAGGTGTCCCTCTCTGTTGGGGCAGCAACTTTCGGCCACTCTGTGTGCGTGCTGTGCCGCCATCCAGCTTGCACCACACTCATTGCTATCTCTCTCGGCGGTGTCATAAAAACGACCCAAGCAGAAAGCAAAAAGCAGCCAGCCCTATGCTGACGGTGCTCCTTTAGGCCCGCTTGTCAGCAGAACAGAACAGAACAGAACTGGCTCTGGCTCTGGCCATTGGGCACTGCCTTCATTTCATCGACGGCCGGCAAACGTTAAAGACTGTGAAACTGTGAGAGCGCGCGCTGCCGTTGAATCTCAAGAGGCACGATTAGAGGCCGGCGTGGTAGACCCTAGACCAGCCCAGCCCAGCCCAGACACCACACCACACCACACCACCCACTTATCACACTCGGGTGTGATTAGATGTGCGATTAGCTACACGATACCCCAAAGCACAAGCGAGCGAGAGAGAGACAGAAGAGAGTGAAGAAGAAATGGGAGCCACTTTGGGAGCCTGGGACTATGCCATCCTGGCGGTGGTGCTCATCATCTCTGTGCTGATTGGCCTCTACTACCGATTTGTGGGCCAGAGGCAGAGCACCACAACGGATTACCTGCTGGCTGGCCGCTCGATGGGCGTCACCCCGGTGGCGTTTAGTCTGATGGCCAGCTTCATGTCGGCCATCACCATACTGGGCGTATCGATGGAGAACTACCAGTTCGGGACCATGTTCGTGATGATCAATCTGTCGTATGTGATATCCACGCCCATTGCCGCCTACCTCATCCTGCCGGTCTTCTTTCGCCTGAAGACGGCCAGCGTGTATGAATATCTGGAGCTGAGGTTCGGCTATGGCGCCCGATTGGCCGCCTCCGTAAGCTTCTCGCTGCAGATGATCCTCTACATGGGCATTGTGGTGTATGCCCCGGCCCTGGCCCTCGAGGCCGTCACGGGCGTCAATCAGATCTTCTCGATTGTCATCGTGGGCGTCGTGTGCACCTTCTATGCCACAATTGGCGGCATGAAGGCCGTGCTCGTCACGGACATCTATCAGTCGCTGCTGATGTTCGTCGCCGTCTTCAGTGTGATCATCTGTGCCTGGGTGAAGTCTGGCAGCCTCGGGGAGATCTGGCGCACGGCGCAGGAGAACGGACGCATCGACTTCACCAACTTCAGTGTGGATCCAACGGAGCGGCACACCTGGTTCACCCAGATCCTGGGCGGCTGTGCCACCTACCTGGCCATCTACGGCGTCAATCAGGCCCAGGTGCAGCGCCTGCTGGCCGTCCGCAATCTGAGCTCGGCCCAGGCGGCGCTCTGGTGGTGCCTGCCCATCCTGTGCCTGCTCAGCCTGAGCACCTGCTTCTCGGGGCTGTGCATCTACTGGTACTACCGCGACTGCGACCCCGTCCTGGAGGGACGCGTCAATTCGCGGGATCAGGTTATGCCCCTGTTCGTGGTGGACACCATGGGCGAGTACACCGGCCTGGCGGGGCTCTTCGTGTCGGGCATCTTCTGTGCGAGCCTCTCCACCATTAGCTCGATCATCAGCTCCCTGGCGGCTGTCACCCTGGAGGACTACCTCAAGCCGCTCTTCAAGTGCTGCTCCAGTCGCGGCGGCAGCCTCTCGGACCGCCAGACCCTGCTGTACTCCAAGCTGCTGTCCGTGTTCTATGGCCTGCTGTGCATTGGTCTGGCATTCCTAGCCGGCTCCATTGGGGGACTGCTGCAGGCGGCGCTCTCCATTTTCGGCATCGTCGGGGGACCGCTGCTGGGCCTTTTCACCCTGGGCATGTATGTGACGTCGGCCAACCAGAAGGGGGCTGTCGGGGGGCTGCTCATTTCGTTGGCTCTGTGCTTCTGGATTGGATTCGGGCAGCCGAAACCGCCGCTGGTCAGCCTGCCCATGTCCACGGCGGGATGTCCGATTGATAAATCCTACGCCAGCGACGCATTCTACGTCAAAGTGAAGCCGGAGCAGCGTCAGGATGAGGATTACTTTTACCTGTACAGGATCAGCTACATGTGGTATGCCGCCCTGGGCTTCCTGGTGGCCTTCTTCGGGGGCTGGCTGATCTCCTGGCTGTGTGCGCTGCTCAAGTGGGACGACAATCGGCGCATCTACCAGGACGCCGAGTGCACGCTGATCAAGCACGATCTGTTTGTGCCTCCACTGGCCAAGAGGCTGCAGCGGCGTCAGATGCCGCGGCTGGTTGTTACCGGCACCAGTTCGGAGATTGGGGGCATTGCAGTGGTGGCGCCGCTGCGACTCGATCAGATCGAGTGGGAGAAGCAGAAGGACGTGGCGTAGCGCAGAAGTTTTCTTTCTTTATTGCATAATATAACTTCATAACTTTGGGCCACACAACAATAATAAACACAATAAAAAAATAAAGGAAAGACGAGGGAGGGGCCGGGCCGGCCGCACTCTAGCCAGCGATCACTGGAGCAGGACTCGCCTCGTAGTAGTTGCGACCCGACGAGAGGTGCCACAGGGCCAGTAGGCGGGTGAGCTCCTTGTAGCTGAGTGTGTGCAGATCCCGACGCTCGGCCGTGTAGACCCCAGCTGCCTGTAGCTCCTGCACAATGGTGTTGAAAATCTCCGGTCGATCCTCATGGGCCATGGCTTCGCCTCGTGCAGCGATGCGTGAAATGTGCGATGGCTGCGCTGCTGGCTGGGCTGCTGGCTGGCTGCTGAATCCATGGCATCCAAGGCAGCCACCAGCTCCAGATCATTGGTCATGGGCAGGGCATTCAATGTGCCTGCTGCTAGCAAGAGCCCTGCTAGCACTAGTCCTAGTCCCATTAGTCCCGACATCTTTTCCATTGTGTCCGTCCGTCCGCTTGCACGAAGCTTTGCCTTTGCACTGAGTGCCTGCGGCAATTGAATCACAACGATTAGAATACGCCTCCTAACCGAACCGCAGTTTGAGTTTCAGTTTCAATTTCTGCTGCTGACTCTTCCCGTCGATCGGGGCCTCGGCTCTTCTCTAGTTATATCGGTTCCTCGGTCTCTCGGCCCCTCGGTCCCTCTGGGGTGCGCTCCAATTCTGATTCTCTCCCTCCGCTTCTGATCCACCATTTCTGTTGATTGAAAAGTCACTGTAGGGTCGTTCAATTACTTTATCTATGTACAGGCAGACATACATGTACATGTGCCATGTGTGCGTCTCTTTCGCTTCGCTTCGCATTGGTATAAGTTGGGTCTGGGCTGGGCTGTGGCCTGGTCTGGTCTGGCCTCTTGTCCAGTTTCCAATTTGTGTACACAAATTTCTTTAATTGTTTTGTGCTTTCGTTTTATTTTGATTTTGATTTTGATTTTGGTTCTTCGTTTTGGGCCCCTGCCCTGCCCTGCACAGCGATCCAAGGCGATCCGATCCAATTTACGATTAGTATCTGCGCAGTTTGTGCTCTCTGCCATGCAATGGTTTTCCGTTTTCTGGCTTGTTCTCTTTTGTGGCCTTATCTTATCTGCCTCGATACCCACCCACCCCCTAGATAAGTACTCCCAGAGGCAGTATTCGTTGGCTTTATATTATGGAACATGTCAAATTAAGGATCACTTAGTAGTGACTAAGGGATATGTTGGAACGAGCGCAGACTGACTATTCAAAAACAAACAAAATACATGCCGTGTAGGGGATTTTTTACCACAAAAACAATACCATATCACAATAGATATTTTAGTGGCCCAAATAAGATGATTTCGTCCTGGCAGATTTGTTCTAGAAATGCGTTTGTATTTCCGATATGCATCAGGGACCAATCCATACATATATGTATGTTTTTATGCTGTGACTAAAACTATTATACCCTGTGGCAGGGCAAGGGGTATACACCCACAATTTAAGCAGAGCATTATGGATCTTTTTCGTGTTGCCGGCTTTTGGGGCGTTGTGAAAAAATAAAAAATAGCAAACCAGAAAAATTCGCCAGGCAGGCAGTGCGAACACAACACAACCAGCTGAGGTACACTGACGTGAGTTCTCTATCGAATGGGCGGCGCTTACACTGGCACACGAGTGACGACGAGTGTGACGAGTGGAAAACAGCTGCTCTATGAAAACAGCTGATTTGTGTGTGTTCAATGGCGATATGAAAAGCAACTGAATTTAGAATTTTAGAAATCAACTAAAATATTGAAAAATTGTATTTGAAGGTCCGAATTTCTTCAATTGTTCTGCCAATTCCTGGTGTATGGTCTTGGGGGCGCAACACAAAAATGTAACCAGTGTAAACAGGGTAGTATTAGCCAACAGTCTGGCAACGCTGCCTAAGTGGTATTAAATGCAAATTGTGATTTGCATTTCCTTAATTGATGCATATCTCCGAATGCGAATGCGCATCCGAAGGGGAATGCGCATTGCATGCATAAGTAGACATGCATACATACACACATACATATGTACGTACTCGAACTCGTCTAAATGGAATGGAATGGAATGGAATGAGATATTCGATTGAGATGGGCTTAAACATTCCGGCGATATGGTTTTTGTTATTGTGGTGGAGGTGCTGCAATGACTGATCGCTGACGGCTAACACGTGCCGATGGCTCATGGCTCATGGCTGGGGGCTTAGTCACATTTTGGCCTAAACCCTAAACGAAAATAACAAACCCATTGATAACTAGAGCAATGCTGGAACACTGACTGACTCACGGTAAGTGGGTGTGGGGGGCGCACCACCCATCAACCCACCCACTGTCTCTCTCTCTCTCTCTCTCGCTCTGGCTGCCTCTCTGGTTGGTTCTGTTTCTGTTTCTGTTGTTTGTGTTTTGTGCTTTTCCGCTGGCTCTGCTTCTTGCGTCTCTCTGTCGTCTGTTGTGTGCCGTGCGTTGCCGTTCTTTTGTGCATCGCCTGATGTCATCGGCCAGCAATGCGTTGGATCGTTGGATCCGCTGAAATCGTTCTCCTTATCTCGTTCTCCAATTAAATTGGCATGGCCCCTGCTTGTCCCCTGATCTCGCTCGCTCGCTCGATCGCTCTCTTGCCTGCTCTCTCTTGTGCTTGTGTTTGTTTGTTTTACCGTTAATTTTGCCGCCTTTACTTCGAATTTCGTTGTGTGATTTGGTTTTGATTTTGATGTTTGGTGTGGGGTGCGGTGCGGTGCGGTGGAAATATTGCAACATTTTTGGCTATTCAACAGTTTATTTATTTATTCTAGCGAATAAAAAAAAAACACCTTCACTTGATTCATATGTTCACATGGTCTTATGTACTCTCTTCCCTGTTATGTACATACGTTCGGCATACATATTTACGCATAGATATATATGTACATATGGGAGGTAAGAACCCACTTCTCCGACTCATTCTTTTTCTTTCGAGCAAACACACTTGTCCCCACATGGCATTGAAATACCACAAAAATCGTAAAAAAACAAAAAAAAATATTTAAAAAAAAATAATTATGATGTTATTGTAGGATACAATAATTATGGCTCCACTTTAGGTCTATACATATTTGCAGATGGATCCATATCCATTTATCCATTTATCCATTGGCTACGCTACTCCTGGTCACCATCGCTGGTGGTGGTCACCGTTTTCTCCTGTGTGCTCGTTGTGGTGGTGCGTGTGAGGGTAAACACTCCGGTGGTGCCCACATCATCCATGGGCTGGGCAATGATGGTCGATGTGGTGCTCTGTAGTTGCGGAGAGGGAGAGGGGGAGAGAGGGGGTGTGTGAAGTGTAGGATGATCTCTCTCTGTCTCTCTTTTTGGAGAGAAAATAACTTACACCATTTTTGGTCTCCTCGGGACTCCAGGAGCGCTTATCATCCAAATCCTTTGAGCAACAGCTTCCCATTTTTGGTTGAATGTGAATTCGTCTGCGGGTATTGTGGGTATTGGGGATGTTGGGGATTATGGAGCTTCAGCTGCTGGGTAGCTGGCTAGCTGGGTAGCTGGGTGGCTGGGTGGGTTTCGGTTTTGTTGCTGCTTCAACTTCGCACGTCTGTCATCGAATGCCGTGCTGTGCCGTGCCGTGCCGTTTCGTTCCGTTCCGTTCGCCGGTGTTCGTTCACTTGTTAGGCCCCCACGGGCCCCAACCCATCAAGAGCGTTGCTGCCAGCGATGACAGCGACCGAGGCAGAGAGCAGAATCAGAGATAGAAACAGAAACAGAGACAGAGGCAGAGGCAGAGACTGAGGCGTCATAGCTCCATATCAATTCTAGAAATATGTCTCAGTGCTCCGCTCGTATTCCGTATTGTGAGGAATACAATGGGGAATTCATATATATAAGTATATATTCTCTATATATTGTACGAATAAATGTACTCCCCCTACCCCGTACTACCAGTAAAAGCCTCCCAAATACAGAACACAGAACACAGTCATCGTCTTTATTTGCAAAAGCCTTTGCAATATTTCAGTCTATATGTCTGTCTGTCTGTCTGTCTGTGTGTCTGGCCTTGTGGCCTCTTAACGGTTACAGTTCCGATAGGTCAGGTGCGCGCGACGACAACCGACAGCCACCGATAGCCAGGGTTGCTATTGTCATTCCAGGCAGACGACTCACAAGGGAAAAACCAGTGAAATTCTAGGGCAATCCACAGCATATACTTTTGGATCCTATGGCCACTAAATGGATAGTCCTACGAAGACCCATAAAGAGTCTGTAAGACTTGGGGGCCTTGAGGGCTGTGGTGTACACCCGTAAAAGAGACAAAATTAATCATAACTAATGCCCCGTAATAAATAAATTTATCGCACTAATGCGAAATGAATGAGTGGGTGTGCTGTTGTGTGCTGTGTGCTGCGACGATTGCAGACTTATCTTGTTTATAGCAAGCACAGGAATACGCTGCCCCACTATTCACACGATCATTATTTGCATGAGGTGGTGTCTGCTGGTATCATCTTTGTTTGCAGACTGTTTGACTGTACTCGAAACTCGATCGTATAAATTGAATTACTCTCAACTGATTCAACTGATTCAACTGATTCTTGGTCTGCGATTGTATGCCTACATATATACAAGTACAAGTACTTGTACCATAAAGCACCGATTAGATACTACGCGTATAATAATAGCCGAGTGACCGATATTGATAGCTGTCACACACAATGCCCTGACCTTTGCAGTCACAGTATCCTCCGCAACACTCCCACTCCCAGTCCCACTTCGAACTCCGAAACTCCAAACCCTACACCCAGAGAAAAAAATAACTGAAATTGTATTTACACATATTTTAGGTATTTTCTAGCCATGAATTTTCTGCAAGAGTGAAATTGGGGAAATTGTAAAAACAAAGTGGAAAATTAATTGGAAAATATTAGTTTTCAACTTTGAATTTAAATCAATGTAAATTAATTGTATTTCAAAACCAAATTAAATTTAATTAAAATTGGGTGTGTCCATTTGTACTATGCCCATTTTTCTCCGAGTGTATCTCTGAGTGTACTGTCTCTGGTTCGGCGTGCGTACGTTCGTGTGTGTGGTTCTCATACACTCATCATAATCACAATTAAATCAGAGATAGACGCAGAGAAATAGGAAAGAGAGAGAGGGAGGGAGAGATACACTGGAGTTGCTAGCGATAAGCCTGAAAAAGTAATTAAACGACGAGTCACTGATTCGGAAATGCTATTCAAATATCGTACATACATACATATGTACAGCTGTACATATGTACATAACGTAATAGATTCTATTGGTTAAATGCGAATTTTGGGACATTTGATGTGGAGGGGAAGGAAAAGTAAAAGCTTTATATACTGCAACCGGAGACACTTATCGATAAACAAAGAAATCGAAAAGTATCAACAAATTGAAAATACGGAACTAAAAAAATTAACAAAAATTATTCTTAATTGGTCTATTGTGATTAGGTGGGGGAGAGGTTATACCACCGATAAGTAGAGCAAAAGTAGACCAAAAGTGGAGCACTTTTGTGGGCGATAGTCATGCGAGGGGATGACACAATTTGGGCCGCTATCTCTAGTCAATAACGAATCCACACTGACTGACTCGCTTCCGTATCTTTATGTGTGCAATGCATTTATCTCCATTGCTATCATTTCATTGCTATTTTGCTCTCTCCCTCTCCCACTCCAGATTCATAATGGACAGATGTACGGAAAGGATGTACTGCTGCGTGCCCTGTTGGCGGCCTTATCTCCGCATTCCTTTGCCGCCCAGTACTGGCGTGCCGAAAGAGATAGCGTCTTCTTCTATGTGGACGACTTTGAGGTGGCGGAGCGCATCCAACAGCTGGGAAAGCATGCATCGCTGCCCGATGGCTTTCGCCTGTCGCCACGCGTGCGCAACGGCATTCCGCAGGTGACCGTCGACGATGCTCTCAAGGAGCGCATGAAGCAGGTCATGGCAAAGCGTTACAATGCACAGACCAAGGCCCTCGATATGTCCCGCTTCTATGCCGATCCCGATATCAGGCAGGTGTTCTGCCCCCTGTTTCGGGCCAATGTGATGGGCGTCGCTCTCGACATCATGTGCGACAATATACCCGATCTGGAGGCCCTCAATCTGAACGACAACAATCTGGTGTCCATGGAGGCATTCCGACGTGTCGATAAGCGCCTGCCCCACCTCAAGATACTCTACTTGGGAGATAATAAGGTGAGTATCTCAGTAGCCTGTATACCTTGTGGCCACAACTCAACGCGTCATCTCTCCTCTCGTCCGCAGCTTCCTTCGCTGGCCCATCTATTGGTGTTTCGCAATCTGCCCATTGTTGAGTTGGTACTGCGGAACAATCCGTGCCGTTCGCGCTCCAAGGACTCGCAGCAGTTTGTCAGGTATACTACGGTGTGATTTGTTTGGCTTTTTCTAGAGGATGTCGCTGTCTGTCTCTGTCTCTGTCCTGTCGCTCGTGCCATTGTGTGGCCAGTCCAGTCGACGTGGGAGACACCTCGTCGAGCGTCCAATACACACAGGATTAGGATTTGCATTTCCATTTCCACTTTTTGAGTTGTCTCCCATTCCACCATCCCAACCTCCGAGCTCTAAACTCTAATCAAGGCTGCTGCACTCTGCTCTGGAATGCTGGAGGCCCCAACCGAGGATCATTACTGATCGATCATTCCGTTTTATTGATTCATCCAACGCGGTATTTGACTGGGCCAATGTACTTGTGCTTAGAGCTTGTTTATGGTTTTAATCATCTGCTGTTGTCTGTCGCAAAGCACAGACAGACACCTAGGCAGAACAGGGCTCTCAAGCAGAGCAAAAAGAAAAACAAAAAAAAAAAAAAACAAAAAGAAAACACAAAAGAAAAAAAAAAAAAAGAAAGTAAAAACCCATCTTCAAGTCTCAAACAAAAGCCCAAGAAAGGACACTACACAGGTTTGATGCAGCGGTTTGATACGGGACTGAACCTGAACCTGAAACTGAAACTGACCTTTGGACAGACATGCAGACGGACACACGGCCACACGACAAACGGCACTGAACGGCGCTGAAGCTCCGCACACACATGTGTCCACTGTGCGGGCAACATTCCACATGCAACATATATATTTTGGTATGACAATGAAACATCATAACGGCACATTATTGTAGCCAACCACACAATAGCAACAACAACAACAATTTAACACCAACCCACACGCCGCACACCCCGTCTCAAGAACCCGAAGACGTGTGCGCGCACACACACACACAAACAGGCACGCGTCCGCAAGCCCACACGTGCGTGCATGTGTGAGAGATGCGTTGCTCTGTGCTGTGCTGCTGTTGTGTTGTTGCCTGTGCGGGAAGCGGTGGTGGAAGCGGCGGCGTTGGCGGTGACGGTGGCGTCGTAGTAGGGACAAGGCGGTGACGCCAATTGGTTCCGGTGATGGGCTTGGGCTGGGGCTGGGGCTGGGAAAGCAACACACATTTTGCAAAATTGTTTGTATGGCTCCTGGGCTGGGCGCATGCGTTGCCCGTGGAGTGGATGGGTGTGTGTGGGCGAGCTGCAACAGCAGACATCGAACCGATCACCGATCAGCGATCACTGCTCATCAAATCGAACATACGCATCGAACCAAACCGTTTGATGTGATGCAGCAGGCAGCTTTTTTGAGCTTGAAAAAAAAGAGAGAAAAAAAACTTAAAAAAGGGATACAAAAAATGCATAAAAAATATATAGAAAAGTGTGAACTATAAAAAAAGATGCCCACGGCACAATGCAATGCTTGAGGGCTCTCTTCCGCTTGTGATTACATTTTTTTGGATAAACCTTTTGCAAAACACCAAACCAGATGATATATGAAGAATCCAAGTGCCTTTGCCCATTCAAACAAAAGCTCCTGCAATAAGTTGAGCCAGTCATCCATTTTGTATAGCATCAGAGGTAAAGGTGGGAGCCGTAGGATCTGCCCAAGTGGCAGGCCCACCTCCAACTTCCACCTCCAGCTTAAGCTGTGAGCAGTGTGGAAATGCCTAATGGAGTAATGTTATATATCATTTTGTTATATTGTTCACATCATCGTCACAATGCTAATGCCGAACCACAAACGGCGCCTATCCCAATCAAACTATTTACAGCGAAGTACGACGAAAGTTCCCCAAACTGGTCAAACTGGTAAGAGCGCCTCGCTATTCTATTGGATAATCCATAATATCTAGATCTCTGTGTCTCTCTCTATCTCTCTCTGTCCACGTGGTTGCATGGGTGATGCAATAATAAACAGGATGGGGAATCACTGGGGCCGGTAGTTGCCTTCGATTTGGCCGGAGCTGGGACAATGCCAACCACCCAGGCCTCATTTCTGTGCGACAATGGCGGTGCCGATGTGGTGCGCCAATTCCTGGACCAATATTTTAACATATTCGATATGGAGAGCCGTCAGTCGCTGCTGGATGCCTATCACGAGCATGCCATGCTGTCCATAACAATGCCAAATGCGGGCCATGCGGGCAGGTAAGGAATTCCCCCCATTCCCCCATTTGATCGATCTCCCACCACCACCTGTACCAATCTATTTCCTTTGTGCCGCAGATTGAACAACTTTTGGAAGTTTAATCGCAACTTTCGCCGCATGGTGAACCATGAACGCGATGACCATCGCACGAGGCTGCTCAAAAACGGGCGACTGGCCTGTGTGGCTACCCTGAACGAATGGCCACGCACGCTGCACGAGCGCCGCACCTTCACCGTCGATCTAACCATTTACAACGTGAGCCATCCAGATCCAGCCATTCATCCTGTTGCCCCACCTCTATTGTGTCCCTCTTTTCAGCCCCAAATGATTGTGTTCACTGTGACGGGTCTGTTCAAAGAGCTGAGCGACGAAGGCGACAGACCATCCACCTCGCAGTCGTACGAGTTGCGCCACTTTATGCGCACGTATGTGGTGGTGCCCCAGAACTCTGGCTTCTGCATTCGCAACGAGACGATCTTCATTACGGCCGCCACAAATGAGCAGGTGCGCGAGTTCAAGCGATCGCAGCATCAGCCAGCTCCCGGCGGTGCCACAACTGCTGCTGGCGGCGGCACCACAGCTTTGGGCATGGCAACTGCATCCGCATCCTCGCTACAGAATCGTCTGGGTCCGGCAAGCAACAGGATCCCGTCCACAGCTGCAATTTTACCAGAAGTTGCCGCAATGTCCCTCAATGCTGTTACCAGTCCCGCCGGGGTGCCCCCTCAGCAGCCAACCGTCTTTGCCAATTCCGGATCAGCGACAGATGACGCCACGAAAATACAAATGGTGCAGGCCATGAGTTCACGTAGTCAAATGAATCTGGAATGGAGTCGCAAGTAAGTGCCGAGGAGGAGGAGGAGGAGGCAACGCTTGGGCTCATTTCTAATCAATCTCTATTTCGCTGTGCAGGTGCCTAGAGGAGACAAATTGGGACTATAACCATGCCGGCTTTGTTTTCGAGAAACTTTTCAAGGAGAACAAAATACCGCCAGAGGCCTTTATCAAATAGAGCTGCCAATCCCCCAGCCCCCAGCAGTAACATTAACAGTGGCTGGCGCAGGAAGAACAGGAGTAAAAGCAGCAACTCACATACCGATACACAAACAGACCCTTTTGCAATGTATATCCTTCGAGCACACACACACATACACACCCTACACACTCCACACACACACACTGCTCCTCCGACTACGCCAACGTCCACGCCCGACAGAGTCAGAGCCAGAGCCCGCTGGAGCGCCAGGCTCTGTAAAATATTTGTTTTGTATATTAATATACATACACATATATATATATATATCTATAGATATTCGTATATATATATTATATAGTTGTTTTGGTTTTTTTTTATAAGTCACAAAAATGATTTGGAATAAGCTAAGAAGCAAGGCCAAACTGGCGGCCCAGAGCCGCTGCACCTGCATGACCCCTTTGATAGGATAATTTATTTTGATTTAAGCCATGCGCTGGACCTGGACTCTTGATGGATCGAGCCGCATCTCTTTCGAGCGTTCAAGCAGGGCGCAGGCACTAAATGTAGTTTTTTTTTTTAGTTTTATTTTTTAGCACCCAAAATAAAACAAAATCAAGTCTGGCACAAAGCAAATAATACACACAGAAGGCATACACCCCCCCATACCCATACCTGCATCCCCCGATCAAAAATCCCCTCCACGTAGCCTTATATTTGTATAAATGTAAAATGTAAAATGCAAAACAGCAAACCAACGAGAAGTTTGAAACAAGAAACAAAACAAAATGCAGAAGCGAAAGAGAGAGATTATCCCATAAGAGATTTTTGGAAACAAACAAAACCGAAAACCAAAATCAATAATACTAATGACCGATTATGTACATTTGATAATGAAATAATGATACAGAAATCAGATTTTCTAGTGTTTTGTTCTGTTTTCCTTAACTAATTAATAGCAGAAATAAAAAATTGCTCGTGCATCCCCTGCACACGAGCCCTAGCCATAAGTCCCAATTGAATTACGAATTACACATTGCAGTGTATACAAAAAATATACACAGAATGCGTGGATAATTATAGTTTAGGAAACTAAATAAATGTACGGAGAGTCGGAATGTAAAAAGGAGGGGGGCTCTCTTGGTCTTGCTCGAATTCATTTCAATTGTTCAATGTTTTTATGGCGTGCAACGGATAAGGGATTGTCCATGGTGGGGGGTTATCCAGACAAAGTATCTACAATTGAACAGATATGCGGTACTTAGATGGCAGGATTTTTTTTTGCTTCTGACTGGATGATCCAGTGGATAATGGATGATGGTTCCCTAGGCTTGTATTTCGAATAGAATGAGTACTCCTAAGAGGGATTATAGATTCCTGGCATCCATGCCATAGATTGAATAGGAACCAATTGTACTCGTTACTCGTTACTTTGCTCAGTGTGCTCTACATTTACAATCAATGTTTGTTTTCGTATACTTAGTATTTTTACAAATTCTCAGCATAAAATGCGTTTCCATGTGCTGTGCATTGTTTGGCTGATCGAAGTGAGTACGGGAACGAACCATTTATGCTCTTAACTGGAACCTGCGCTCAACACAACGAAACCTCTGCAGATGAACTATTTTGATACACTCGCAGCCAGGCCGATTCCTAGATCTACACATTCACCCACAGGGCTAGAGCCGCCGCAGCTACCAATCGATGCGGGAGTAAAGGACGACGAGCCGAAGCCCGACTTAGAAAACACCATGGGTGCAGGTGGCATGGGAGGCTTGACATTGCGCCGTTCTCGGCGTCAGCTTCCACCGCGTATGCCTCGACGCATACTCGCCGAGGACAGCATTGGGAAACCAAAGCCAAGAGGCAAAGAACTCAGTATACCCGTTCAGATCAACTGCGGCACGCCGAATAGGAAAAGGTTCAAGCTCATTGAAGAGCTCTATTGCGAGGCCCTGAGTCTCACCAAAAATCAGGAGATTGGCGTCCACTACCCCCACAAGGAGTCGCCAAGTCACAAACACAAACCTCACCAACCCCCCCCCCGCTAACGTATAGGCTCACGCGAATAGGAACGAAGGTTCAAGCTCCCATTAGAAGAGCTCTAATTGACTCTCAGTCTTCACCAAAAATCAGGACCAATTGGCAGTTTGCCACCCTATCGAATTCATAGAATACCAACGTAGATCTATTAAAAACCATGCTATGTACAAATTTTGTAACATGTTTGATTCCGACCCTTTGTAATTTCCACATAATAAAAATACACATAATTATTATACAATATTTGTAGTATTAATGTTTTTTATACAACTATTTGTGTTCTAATTCAAAACTTTAATCTGGCGGCTTAATGCTCCATGGCAAAGGGTGGGTGCTACGAAACTTTTTCTTAAAGATGTTGCGGAAATAAACGAAGGCTGCTAATTTTGAAATTGTATATAAATATGTATGTTGCGAAGAGAGTACAACGCTGCCAGACCGTCAGACATGAACAACGCCAAGTGCAAGAGAAAGCGCGCAATTAAAAAAAAAAAATAAAAATAAATAGAATTTGCTTTTAGTTTTCCAACTTGTCACCTTGAACACTTCTCACGTCATTGCCTTGCCTCCACTTAAATATCTACCTACTCACGGCAAACAATGTGAGTGCCTAATGACTCCTGTTGCGTACATTGTAACCGGCACATGTGGCGGCTGACTTCACACATGACTGAGGTCCTGAATATGTGGAAGAGGCTAATTCAGCGGGGTGGGGTGGCGAAGTTTTCTCGTTTCAGTGCTGCGTGGCTGCTCGTTAAACAGCTTAAGATGCGACAAATTAAATTAAACGAATACCAAGTAATGTCGCAATGACTGGAACATACGCAAAGGGCAAGGCGTGGAGGGTGTTCTCATTGTCAGGGTCGCTTAGAGTCCCCCCTCCAATGCCCACACCCACATACATAACCTCTGAAAAGTGACGAAAACTGCTGCCGCTGCTGGGTCCCAGGTCCTTCCTTTCGGGTCTTCCTGTTGACCCAAGCAGCTGTCAAAGGTCCTTCATCTTATACGTTCGCCAGCACCAGTGCTGCCAGAAATTCCAGAGTCAATGTTAGCTTCGATGGTTTTGCAATCCTATGACATGAAGCCTCGGATAACAATTTCTTGTTCACATGAGGACGAATCACCTTCACGAATTGGATCCGATACATTCACGCAACGATAGAATCCAGAAGAGATAATATTCTCAGCTTTTATAAGCTTTGAATAAAGCTAAATCTAGCCGGAACCAAGCTAAAATGCAGCACTGGCCAACACTCACGAAAAATCCCTCTCTCTGTCTCCTCGCGCAACGCTCAAGGGCTGAATTCTCCCTTCTTTCGGTTGCCTCTCTCTTTTGACAGGCTGCCTGTCAGAAAATGTTGCTGGTAAACATCCACATGTTGCTAGAAAAACATTTACAGAGCTTATTGGTACAACGAGGTAGAACATTTTTCACATGCTAGCAAAGCTTGCGGTACAATTATCACAGTTTCGTCAGGAAAAGTTGGAATAAATTTTTAAACAACACAGAAAACCCACGAAAGACGATTTTGAAAGCAATGTTTTGTTTTCAATAAAATTTAAAAATAATAAAATTGTTAGCTAATTCTTTTTTTTTGTATTTACATCTAAGTACGCAATTTGCTTAATAATAAAATACCGAATAAAAATATGTTCTAGCACTAGATAAATAATGGTACACTTTGTTCGAAAAATATGGTACTAGCAACATTTGGTTGGGCTTCCAGCAACATGCCGAGAACAGACCCGACCGACCCCACCGAATATACCATATATATATATAATTGTACTGGCAAAAGAGCGCGCGAATTACCGTTTTGAATCGGGGAGACAGGTTCGTGGCGCCCGCTCGCGTTGTGTGTCCCCACCTTCGCACATCCGCAGCAACATTTGACTCGTGCGAGGCGAAGCAGCAGCAGCAGCAGCGGCAGCAGCGGCCTCAAAAAGCGTCAGAACAGATTGCAGCAGCAGTAGAAGCAAAGTAGAAGCAGTAGAGAAAGCAGTAGAGGAAAAGCAGTAGAAGCAGTAGAGGAAGCTTTAGTGACCAGAGTCTCGAGTCGACAGCCAGCCTGGTCGCCCCTGGAGCCGCAACGGAACCAGAGACAGAGCCAGAGACAAAAGTTGGTAGCTGCTCCAGCTCTAGCTCCAGCACCAGCACCAGCACCAAGCAAATCCCCAAAAAAACTCGCGCAAATTGTTACTCCTGTTTTCTGTTAACTGTTACTTTTACCCGCTCTCTTATTTCCATTCCCCGCCCAAAAATCCGCATAAAATCCCGCTCCATCACATTGTTGTTGCTTTTGCGCCTACCAACCAACCGCTCCGCCGCTCTCTGCGGCAAGGAGGCAGGCAGAGAAATAGAGAGATAGAGGAAGAGCGAAAGACCCGACCACTGAGAGAAGCAGAGTAATTTTTTTTTGTTATTTATTTCGCGTGTGGCGCGTGTAAACAAATTCTCTCGTTCTCGGTGTTTTTTTTTGTTGGCAATTTTTTTTGATTGTGTTTGCAGCGTTAAATGAATTAAAGTGCATAACGGGAAAGGAAACAAAAGATAAATATAAATATAAACAACAAACAACGATAGACAGAAGAAGCAGAATAAAAGGAAGAACGAGAGCGGAGGAGGAGGAGCAGCAAGCAGCAGGAAATCCTCCGGAAGGGAAGGTAGAGGAAATAAGGAAATTCCTCTCGAAGAAACGAGCAGCAAAGACCCCACCTCTCACGAGGAGAAGAAAGTGCAACATATCCAGAAGCAGCAGCAGCATCATCCTTACGAAGAGCAGAGGAGAAAGTGTGGAGCAGGAAGAAGCACTGGACGAACTGGACTCAACTGGTAAGAGCATTTCTTTGCATGCCCATGGCTATGGCTTAGGCTATTGATGGGTCCAATCTCCAGTTCCCCTTCGAAACCTTCAAGGCACAAGCCCTGAGTGAGTGCAGCATTTGTGCAGCCTGCTTTTAGGCGCAGCCCAGGGCACGGTTCGCATGAAAGGACTGCCATCGGAACCAAACCCCCACAACCCCCACAAAACTCAGGCCACAGATATCGTTTATGAATAAAAACATATACATATGTATGTTCATATGTAGTGATCCCTTAAGCTTATTTAGATGTTGGTTGAGCAATGTTTTGGTTGGAACATCTTTGGAAACAACAACTTTATACATACATACATATATCCTTTGTTAAGTAAAGCATAGCGCCAAGAAATTTAAATTTTCCCCAAACATTCCTGACCTAGAGTCGCTCTATCAATCTATTTGTTATTAATGCAAACGACTCCCCTAGTTTTTAAGCATTTCCAACTAAATTCAAACATTTTTTCATATGTAATTAGGGAAACAGCACGATCGTACAATTTATTACATGGCCGTAGCTGCTGCGATTAGTGGTCCCATTTTCCTAACAGGCTGTTTTTATTCCCCCTTACTCAGAGTACAGCACTTGTGCCCCGACAAAAATGTTACGACTGGTACAATACTGGTTTTTGGCAGCTGGTATGGATGGGGGAAGAGATCTGAACTGAAAAGAGGGAAGGATGTGCGCTTTATCGACTCAAGAATGTGTGTGCAAAGATTCTTTATGTAGGGTGGGAATAGCTTCCACGAGCTTCCCATGGAGAGATGCATCTGGCATTGCAGCAGGGACTGCGAGAGAGAGAGCGAGACGATCGATCACCCCTGTTTGTTCCAGTGTTGGTCCGGTTGGTCCCCCTGTGAATAAAAACAATTGTATGTTTAAAGATCTCTTGGAATGCCTTCATTGCTGAGCTTTCAGACAAGACTGCACACGCTCTCATTCTCTCTCCAGAGTTCTGGCCAGCTTTGAGAGAAACAATCTAGGGAGTGAGAGGGCGAGATCTTACCTACCCCCTGCCTGGGAATCACAAGTCAAACAAACCCGAAGAAAACGTTCTCTCATTCGAAATCGTGTTCTAAATTGATCCGTCCCCACACAGAATGCAGAGCAAAGCTTCACTGATCCTGGCCGCCATGCTCCACTTGGCTCAGCGGCTACCACAGACACCCTGCCTGTTCACGATCGCCATCATCTGCCTGCTCTGGCTCTGCGACATACTGCCCCTGTGGCTGCGGCAATGGGCGGGCCACGGTGCCGACGTACTCGAGTTCCTGGGCGCCTGGCTACTTCTCGACCTGTCTGACATTCGGCTCTGGCATAGCGTGAAACTTGGATTGGACCATGGAGACAGCTACTGCCACTACTGCTCCGTGGGGGCCATGTGTGGGAGCCTGCTGCTGCTATGGAGGTTTCTCCTGATGGCACTCCCTGATCTAGACGAGCTGGATGAACCCCCAGAGACGCCACCCTCTGATGGGGCACCTCCTCTTGAGTGGTGGGCAGAGGCAGAGGCGTAGGGGTAGAGGTAGAGGTAGAGCCAGGGAAACGGAACCAGGAGGAAAGCGGCGCAAATACATAAGTAAATGAATAAATAATGTAAACAAAATATTAAATTAGAAGAAATTTACTTGTGCACTCATGAGGAGGGGAAAAGGGCAGTGGGAAAGTAAATAGAATTCGCACCTCTCCTCGCTCGCTTTCTCTCTCTCTCATCCCACCATCTAAATACAGTTTGAGCAGCACAGCGCATCAGCCAGACACTTGTTTCGCCACCAGCCCCGTCTCCCCATTAACAAAAGCAACTGTAAAACAGAAACAGCGACGTCAGCAGAAGTAAGGCTGCGTCAAAGGTACACTTACAGTTAGATATGTACACATGTACATGCATATGTATGTACATTCATACATGCATGTGTATGTACATAGGTGCGGTACCAGCTAAATTTTCTTAAGGGTACATCGTACAGGTGTAGGGGATCGAAAATCTTGGTGCTCTTGATACACTTTTCAAAAGAGAGTACTATGATTTTGGCCAGGTGTTCGATCCGTTGGGGGCATATCTGATCATCTTTGATTTGGGGACAATCCAATAAATTTGAACGTTTAAGAAAATTAATTCTGTTGTAGCTAAGGCAAACCCTTTTTTATCCAAAGATAATCTTAATCAAAAGCGTTCTTAGCGAAGCGATGGCTCGTCTGTAAGGGTATCGAATAGTTTCGGTGCCCGCTGCTCTCACGTTTCGCCTGATGTTTGTTGTTCTTGTTTCCTGCCTTTTTGCCTGCTGC